GTGGTGGTGGTGGTGGTGGTGGAGGAGGAGGAGGGTGTCAAACCTTCCAAGCCAGTTGCCAAGCGGGGAAGAAAGGCGCTGATGAGGTGATTGTGATTCAGGATTAGGGGAAAATGGTGTCCTCAAATAAGAAACCTAGTACCATTGATGATTCCATCGAACTGCATCCTCTTCCGACACTTTTGAGGCGTTGGACGAAGTTGTTGGGTATGCATTGAGCGGGTTTGTTGGATTTATTTTTGGGGATATTGGATGGGATTTATTTTGGGCGTTCGGGAGTTGTTGGACTATGGGTCAATGTATTGATCGGGTGGTTCACTCTTTTCCTGACTGAGGGTACCCAGTAAGGGGGGGGGCTCGGCAGGTTTTTAACGAGGGCCACCAGCACGATCGGGAATTGAGGGGGTTTTTGTTTGGGCGGCGAGCATGGAATTATGGATTTTGATTGTGATACCCCGAATAACAAGGAGTGATTATGGTGTGTGTGTGTATCTCGTGTCCCTTTGAATTGTAAAGTGATTGTGAAGTGACTGGGTGCGTATCTACATGCTGCCTAGTGGTATCGAAAGCCTTTCAACTATGTGACACTGTGTGTTGAAGGCAATGCTCTGGGAAATTCGTCCTGGCCATCTGAGTGGCATTTGTTTCCCCCCCCCCGAGCTTGCTGCACTTGAGTATGAAGCTGTCGGCCAGCATGCGCGCGCAGTCCAGTCGTAGCACAACAGTTCCAACAGGACATCATATCATGATCATTTTACTTTTTGTTATTGTTCAAATATGTACGTATATACGACAACAAAGCTATGGGTATATAACTTCTCCAGCCAGTACCACCACCACCAACCACCCCATCAACACCCTTGCACACATTCTGTCATCCTGTCATGTTGCCCCAGGACAGAGAAGACAGAACGAACGCTTGCTCACCAGGCCAGACATACAATCAACAACAACAACAACAACCCGCAACGAAAACCCTAAATAAACAACCGCACACGCAATCAAAGAACACAACACACGCACATTCAGCATCCACACACAAATCCTGTATTTCTCTTCCCCCATCCATTCTCATTCCCACTCAACCACCCCGCCTAGCAAATATAAAAGGAGATGCCCCCCCCATGCAAAAAAATATACCACCCTATTTGCCCCACCCACCACCCACCATATGAGAACAAAAGCAAAAACAAAAAAAAAAAATAACAGACTCCTTTTCTATCCCATAAAGATAGAATATGCAACAACCACTACCTCTTCCCTCCCCACCCCCATCCCCTTCCCCAGTCAACAGTGTATAAGAAAACAAATTAAGAACGATAGTGTAGATGTGTGTGCAAAAATGTACCACGACGACGACAGAAAAAAAAAAAGATGTTCAACAAAGAAAATATGATAACGATAGAAAACAATCACCCAATCACCACTCTCGCACCCTCCTTGCCCAATACACCCCTTTCTTTAGGCTTCGGACTATTTCCCCTCCCCTTCTTCCTGCTCAAAAACCCAAAGACACCCCCACCGCCGCTTTCCTTTCCATCCAGTTCGTTATTCGCCCCAGAGGCGTCCGCTGGGAGTGTCGCGTCCTGTCTGGCAAGGTCGCTCCAGCTGCCGCCCCCGTCGAGAGTAACCTGTACGCCGCCTGTTGGGGACTCGACAATCATTCCTGGTCCCGAACGGTTTCCAGCGCGGGGGTTGTAAGACTGGGGGTATGGCGGCAGCGGGGGAGGGCGGCCTGGGGCGCTGCGTCGCGAGTGGTTTGACGGGGGGCGGGTGAGTTTGTTGCTGTCGGTTGGGGAGTTGCCGTTTGTCGTGGCGGGCGCGGCTGTGGCCGTGTCGGTTGTTTGGGCGGTGCCGGGCTGGAGGTTTTCTTTGCCGGTAGCGGCTGCTGGTGCTGCTGGTTGCCCGTTTGGTTGGGTGGTTTGTGATGCGATTCTGGGAACGGTTGTTAGCATGAGCACCCGCGGGAAAATGGTGGAGAAACATACTTCTTATAAGCGGCCACAGTGTAGTCAAAGTTGCGGAAATCCGTCTCTATCATCCTGTAGAGCTCGTCCTCACGAATCTCCTTGTCTGTCGCGTCGTCCTTTAACCTTTCCCTAGGTTTCTGTCTCCGCGCACGAGCCTCAAGCGGCGCCTCCTCCAAAAGCAGCTCTTCCAAATCGTAAGTAGCGTCAAAGTTGGTCTTTTCGGATGATGGGATAAACACTGGCTCAATCTCCTTCCTTTCCAGGGCCATGAAATCGATCATGGAGAAAAAGTCATTGTGAATGAAGCTCTCCCATGTGTGGCCCATACGTTTGCTCGGATTGGGTTCCAGGGCGGCCTGGATGGCGTACATGCATGTAAGCGACACCGGAGGATTTGTTACGGGAAACCTGGGCTTTGCAGCTTGAATAACGGCGCTCAATGATGATTCGGAATTTCCCTCGAACGGCCTCTGCAACGGGTGTTAGTCTTACTCATGTGGCTTCCCGGTGAACTCCGCGATGTGGGGCAGCGTTGAAGAGAACAAAGACATGGAACGGCTGTGGGCTTTCTCGTACCTTGTTGTAAATGCATTCGTAGAATAAGACACCCAATGACCACCAATCAGCGCGTACGTCATAGCCGTTTCCTGCGTAGACCTCGGGGGCAAGATATGCCAAGGTGCCGGACTTGCTTGTCAGGTTTTTGCCCGGCATGATATCGGAGGCGACGTTCTGTGAGTAGGTTAGCAAACGCTCGTAGCTAGCCCTGTCATATGGCTCATGAAACCTACAAAATCCGTCAAATGGACGTGACCTTCTCCGTCCAAAAGGACGTTGTCGGGCTTCACATCGCGATGGACAATGCCTTGCCTGTGCACATACCTCAGAGCACAGCCCAGCTCGGCAATCCAAAACCTGACGGCATCTTCTGTGAATGTTTTTCTTGAAATGTGGAACCGCAAATCACCGCCGCTCATCAGATCCACCACCAGGTACATATACTCGATGTCCTGAAAGCTGTAGCGCAAGTTGCAGATGAACGGGTGGTTCACGTGCTCCAGCATTCGCCTTTCCCGAATGATGTTGCGTACACTTTCAGATCGCACAACTGTATACACGCATGTCAGTCGTCGTGTCCTTGATCTGTGGTGTCAGGACCTTGAGGGATCCCAACGGTGCACCAACCTTCATCTTTCCGAATGTACTTGAGCGCAAACGACAGCCCAGTGTCCTTTCTCTCGACGATCCGTACTTTTCCAAACGCTCCTCGTCCGACAACTCGCAATAGGCGAAAGTGGTTCAAGTTCACTGTTCTTTGTTAGTATGACCGCTCCTGATATGCGCCGATTCCTTGTTGCAACCCACCTTCGCCATCGAGGTCAACGGGCTTGCCCTGGCTGTTGCCCATGGCTACCGCTTCTTTGCTCCCTTTTCCGTGTTCTTTTTGATGATGCTCCTACTCAAACGACCATGCAAAAACCTGAGGATATGCACTTTGACGGCGCTCAAAACGGCTTTGGTGATTCTGGGACACTAGAACACCAAACTTGATCGTCATTCGGCTCCAGTCTTGGCGTGGGAGAGCGGAAGCGGGAAAGCTGGCGGGAGAACCGGCCGCTCGTCGTCGAGGTGATAATACAGTAGAGAGCGTCGTCAAAATCGGCGTCGCTAATTTCGTCGGATCTATCAGGCGCACTCGATTTTGCGTCGTTCGTCGGCGGTGGTGTTGTTGTAGAGGTGGAGGAGGGAGAGGCGAGTGTTGGGGAAGAACGGCAGGATGCGGTACGCATGCAGGTCGGGCAGTCGGCCAGAGGCTGAGGGGTATCGACAACAAAGAAAGCCAATTGCTTGCTTGCTCTCTTCTCTTGGAGGGAGAAGATGAAAAGATGGAATTCGAGATCGAAATGGCACAGGCGCACACAAACAAGGGACCAAGCTAGATGCAGTTACACAGCACTGGGAAAGGGCATCAGCAGCTGTTTCGCATTTAAGGGGGAGGGGGGGGGGAGGGAGGAGTGCTTGTTGCTTGTCGTCGGTCCCTGTTTATTAGAAGGGGAAAGGCTTCGACGAGAATGGTGCTGGCCCGCCCAGTGGTGGAGGAAAGCCAGCGCTGGTCGCTGGAGGCGTGGTAGCGGCACCCCTGGTCGGATGGACAAGCGGCTTGGGATGCACAGGGATCACTGGGATCACTACCCTTGGGGGGGTGGAGCTGCCGTCACGATAAAGAGAGGAACTGGTGACCATTCCTCTGATTAACTACCACCATATACGACGGGAGGCTCCCTAGCGAACAATGCTTTGAGGTCTGTCGTTATCATGTATGATATATGATACTTGATGTCTAGGGGCCATTTGTCTCCAACTAGCGCCACGAGGGGTGAGTGAGACCTTTTTTTTTTTTGTTTTTGGATTCTGGAATTGAGTGCGCTTCCGATTCACTCATCGGCGCGCAGATCCCGCCCGGAAACAAGCTGGTGGCTTTTTCCTCGCAGTGGGCACAAGTTTTTCGGACGAGAGATATTCGGTGTCAGTGTCTCTGTCTTACCTCCATGAGGTGTAGCGGGCTCCAGCAGGCAATCAAAGGCCACATGGCGACCCGTCGACTTTACGTACATTATGGCCCCCCCTGGCCTGCGGTGCCTGCGGTGGAATATTCGCACAAAGATGGGACGCATCGTGGCCCTCACGCAGCCCAGCGCTGAACAGCCAGCCAGCCCGCTAGCGCCAGAGTCATATAATGGCGTCTTCTCAGCCGGTGGAGGCACCCGCGATAAGACTCCTCAGGAAAATTCCATTCATTTGATCCATCCAGCTCGTCCCAGCTCGTCCCAGCCCGTCCCAGCCCGTCTCAGTGTCTCCCCTTCAGGCATGTTGCCTCCATCGCCGATATTGCAACGCGCTGGGTCGCTGGGTCGCTGGGTCCCGCTGTGCGGTGAGCCCGGACCCTGACCATCTCTTTTTATGACGAGTGCCGCATCGTTGGATCGCTCCCTCTCTTTCCCACATGCCACATGCCACATGCCACATGTTCGGAACTTTACGGCCCTTGTCCTCACTCTGGCGAAGGGTACGGTGCGAGGTCACTCCACCACACAATGGGGGCGGGGCGGGGGGGTGAGGGCTGTTTTTGCAGAGACCAGAGGGAAAAGAGGTTAGCCGATCTGTGCGTGCGCAGCAATTCCAAGCCATCTCCTGGCCTAGCATCTGGCATTGCTAGCCGAACGGTGAGATTCCTCCCTCACGGCATCACAGGTTGTGTGTGTCTTCACATGCGGGGGAGGACCACGGGAAGAGGCCATATACATCTGACCGCATTTATACACGACAGCGGCAAGGCGGCGTGGATATCAGGCAGAGGTGCAGTTGTGCGGCGGCCTGTTCTTGACTTGTATCACGGGATACGAATAACACTGAATATCAACAGCAGCGGCACCAAACACCACCTCAAGCCGCACGCCGAAACATCACGGGCGAGAGACACACACACTGCGTATCCGTACACCTCCTTCTGTCGATTCCCGCGACACCGCGCACTAAAGCACGCAAGTTATCCTGGGCTTTCCACGTGTGGTTTGCGGTGAAACGGGCTTGGTGTCGCTGCTATTAGCTACAAGCGGTGTACTAAATGTGCGTGAGGCGCGCTGAGGACCAATGCGGAAAGGCAGTGTGGTATCAACCAAGACTTAGGTTTGGGGCTGGTCCAAGCATCACGACCACACGACCCCGCTACAAAAAGCTCAGGTTCGCAATCGCGGGTGGTTGTCTCGGGTGAAAATGACTTGTCGTTCCTGATGTGGCCATCGCCAGGACACACTGATCAACATTCCCGCCAGCGACCCCGCGGCGCACTCAGGTCTACTAACGGCACCTCACCACCAAACGGTTTTGTCTTCGTGTCATTCTCCCCCGAGGCTTCATCCATATCACTGGACCTTTCGTCTACCCGCCCGAGGCCCTACAATTTCGCCACGCCGCCTGAGAGCTCGAATCCACCAAGCCAACCGAACTTCGGCCATGTCCGCCCTCTCAGGTCCCGAAGATGTGTTGTGCATGACGCTACTGGCTTCCTGCGGCACAACCTGAAACCAGATGATCGAATCCGGACAAGGGAAAAGAGCTTCTGGAAGCCTTCTATTGCATGCCGAACCAGAGTCTTGTTTCCTTTGCCTGCCATCCGCCAGCCCGGTTTTTCTTTTTCTTTTCTGCTGATTGATGGATGGATGGTCTGCTGCGGCTGCGGCCTTGCGGCGTCTTATTCGTCCCCCCTTTTCGGTGTTGACTACATACATTATACATTTTCCACTCCTACCACACACCCAACACCCGGGCCAACGCACGGCACGGAGCGACGAATAGGATGTCGGCCGCGTTATCTATCGCAACCAATCGAGCGATGAATGGAACCGAGGGGTGGCAGATCTTCTAGAAGTTCCAGCAGAGAAGAAGCGAATGAATCCTTCCCATGGGATTGGGACGGTGCGACATTGCGGTATTCCCGTGTTGGGTGTTGTTTGACCGCCCAAGGGCGGCGTATTCAGGGCAGAACACATTGGATCATTCTTTCTCGCCACCAATCATGTACTTGGGGCAAGAGGTATACAGCGGTGGAAATTTATTGACTGATAGACACCGGAGCACGTTTCGCGAGCCAAGCTGAATTGGAGAGATTTCAGGGACGCGCGAATAGGCAGGGTTCGGAGCCAGAGGACCGTACAATTGGGAGGGCGATCTGAGGTGTGGTCGATGTCGGAGGGTTGGCATTTGGCATACGCAAGCTGCGTATGGGTAAGCCGGCACTGACTGGTGGATCGAGATGCGGGGACCATTGCAAATGGTTGGTTATTCACAAGGACTGACGACCAGCAGATCCAAGCGACTTGGGAATGTGGCTTGTTTAGCAATAGGTGAGGAAGGCAGGTGATGAATGTTGATGCTGGACATCTGAGCTGATGTTCGATGGATGAACTTTGATGATGCTGCCAGGCTAAGACACACCAGATCTTCCAGCCAGAACTTTCATTCCACGGTTGACCCGATTGATTTTCAGCTCTAAAACAGAAAGAAGCCTCTCTTTCCATCATTTTCCTTGGAAAACCCAACAGTAATAAACAGTCTCGCATCACTTGTGGTCGAAACAAAACGTCACCCTCCAATACCATCCACCCCAACAATCGATGTCACAATTTCTTCTTCCCCAGAAAACAAACTCAAACATGGCAATTCCACAATCCGCTAAAAATAACCACCTTCATTTTCTTTTTACGATCCAACGTCGCATGCCGCACTCCCACACTCACTCCTTGAAAAAAAAACCCAAGAAAAAAAAACAGATCTCCATCCAACTTTAACCTCCAGCCCTGAGCCCTGTTGTTGGTGTGGTATTGCTTACATACGAACCCGAGAGAAAGCCCCTGAACCTGAACCGCCTACGGAATAAAAAGAAACGACAATTAAACAAGGCTGCCCCACTGCGGGGAAACCACGATTCTCTAGCCCTTTTCAGATTGATGAGGCGAGTTGATGAAAGGGGGGGGGGATAAAGTGTAACTGTAATTTTAGGCGGGAATGTTCAAATGTGTGGTCGTCGTCATGACGTCAGAGGGGGATCATTTGTTTATGGTTTGGGGGGCACCACCACTTAGACGTGGTGGTTCGATTATCTCTGTGCAACACCATCAATTGACCATCCCTACTGCACGATACTTGATCAAATTGAATCCTCTCCCCAGGCGGGAAACACCTGTTGACCCCCGGCTCCAAGAATAACACATATTCCAGCACACCAGGCATCATGTCCCTCCTCCGCACCACCCTCCGCCGCCCCCTGCCTCCCCTTCCCATTTCCTCCTCCCTTTCCCTAACCCGTCAATACAACCCCTCTCTCCCCCGTCAAGCCTACAAGGACGACCAAGACCGCACCTCCCTCAAACCCCGACCCAACGATTCCACCAAATCTGGTTCGGACGACGAAGCCGCCGAGTGCGCCACAGCCTTCGACCCAACCGTCACAGACCCCGACTTGGAATTCCAATCCTGCTGGAAGGGGCCGTACGACAACCCCTTGGAAGCCTCGGGAGCCAACCGGGAAATATCAAAGGAAACAAACGAGAGGGCAGAGGAGAAACAAGCACCGCGGGATGGCAAGACGAGGGAGAGCCACTCTAGTAAGGAGGGGAAGAAGGCGGGGAGGATGACGAGTTCTTTTCCAAAATGAGAACCGCAACAAACAGAAGAAGAAGGAGGATGGATGGGTTGTTTATTGGCTGAGCATCAGGTGTGCATACTTTCGCCTCAGTAAACAGGAGAGTGAAGGGAGTATAAAAGCTCAGGTTGTTGAATAAGGGCATGTTGCCTTGTCTCGCCATATGTCATTTCGCATCTTTGTATCGGGTTATTGGGGGTTGCAAGCATTTTATACAGACCAGAGAGACAGATATCGCATCGCTAACGTCCCATATTCTTTCCCAGCGCTCTTTGTGCATGTACCACCCACATTAAGCATACAACCCATCCATATCGTCCTCCTCCTCCTCCTCTTCCACCTCTTGTTTCTTGCCCTTCTCCTTCTCCCTCTCTTCCGCCTCCTTCCTCTTTTTTCGCTCTCCCAAGTCAGCCCTACAGCAAGGGCACGTCCCCTTGGTTCTCAACCATGGGCTGACACATTCCAGATCCAACCTGTGTCTTCCCCCGCAAGGGAGCTCAGCCACCAAGCAGTAGGGATCGTCGAGGAAGTTCTCCATGCAGATGGGACATTTGTCGTCGGGGGAGAGGGACTTGCGCGGGACGCGATCGAGGGAGTCGACGAACTCCTGGGAGGTGCCCTCGAGGGAGGTCGGGGGGTGGAGCGTGTCCTCCTCGAGAGACTGGGCGAGGGAGAGGAGGAAGGACTGGTTTTCTTGGGAGGGGGCCGAGGAGGCGAGGGTGAGGAACTGGTCTTGGACTAGGCGGAAGGCGGCGGAGAGGTCGACTGGGTTTGGGATGGAGTGGGGGTTTGTGATGTGGTCGGGGGTGATGGTGGAGGTGAGGTGGGAGGTGAAGGTGGACATGTCTATTTGGCGGCGGCGGGTGGGGCGAGGGGGGGTTTTGATGTTGTGTTCGACTGTTGGGGGAGGTTAGCATATGTAGGGGGATAGATGGAATGGTTGGTGGTGACGGTGGGGGAGCTTGCCTTCGTATTGGGAGGCCATTATTGTGACTGATTTTTGGGTGTGGTTATGGGGGATTGGAGGTTGGATTGGGTTGGGGGGATGGAGGTGAGGGTGTTAAAGGGGTTGAATTAGCTAGGGTTGAATTAGCTAGTGTCGAGGCAGAGAAGTTGTGTCGTCGTCGGGTGGTAGTTGCTACCAGGCAGAGCTCAAGTGACGCGGTGCTCCCTTCCTCTCTGCATCGCGGGGCCCGGATGCTGAAGCTGTCGTCCGAGGTGGGGGTGGTCAGTGCGCCCCCAAAAGCTGGGGTACGCATCGCAGCTGTCAAACAGCGGTGGGGCCGCTGTAATTGGACCCCTTCTCAGGGCCGCCCCCTACTAACAAATCTCATTGTTCCAGGGGTGTATCAAAGATGCGACAAGGCGAAAACCAGTAGAAATTGGAGTGTTTGGTTTTACAATTTGAATGATAAGTTTCTCTCTTCGTGCCATCATTATTAGAATTCCAATCATATCGACACCTCGGTTCAAATCCAAGAAGCGGCACGTTGCCAACTAGTCAGAGGCGTCCAGTTTGTGAAACACAAAAGGCAGCCAACAATAACTTGCGATTGTGTCGGTTTCACTTTTCAGGGCGGATCTAGCCAGCTTTACGAATCACCAATTACCCACGATTGGTCCCTGAGAGAGTGTTGCTACACGCCTGAAAAGCTCGTGGTTGATCTGGGTGACTGCCACGATTTTCCCGTTGGGTGGTGCTGCAGGTTGGGTGGCATATGACATCATGCAACAGAAGATAAAGACCGGGTATTAGATCGACTGCTGTGAAGATCTAGTCGCGCCGACCGTGTTCACCTTTTGCATAATTTTTCATTTTTTTTATTTTTATTTTTTTCCATTCAGCTGTTACATATTTTCTTTTCACAAGTCGTCGAGGGATGAAGAAGGAGTAAAGCAGAGTTAGCAAACACAAGCAGCAGCAACATGAACACTGCGACAGTGGGTTTGGCGGTTACGCCAACGGTCATATCCACTCTTTTATCGCATGTAAGTGATCCCGTTCAGGAGATAAAAAGGACCAACAGCTAGCTGACTTCACAAAAGTACCTCAGTCGGAAACCACGGGCCAAAAAGCCCACGGCTCACCTGTCGTATGACGAGGGCCTTCATCTTATTCGCTCGTTTCTTCAGTATGCCTCGCGTCACACAGTCGAGGATCTCCAAGCCTTCACCAGCCAATGGGTCCCTCACCCTCAATGGGTCAAAGTCGACGTGGTCGATATTCCAGAGCGCGATCTCTCGAGGTCGGCCGATCTGCTGGCTGAACAACTCGGCCCGGAAGGTCTTCGTCAAGTAGGCGGAAAGCAATGGTGGCAGTGGCGCAAGGAGAAGCATGCGCTCAGGGCGGAGTGGATCGAGATGAAGGCTGATTACCAGGAGCGGTTGAAGGCAAATGACCCAGGAAACCGCGTCATGCTTTATGTTCATGGGGGAGCGTATTATTTTGGCAGTGTGGACGAGCATCGGTATCAGATTCAACGACATGCGCGAAAATTAAAGGCGAGGGCTCTCGCGCCGCGGTACAGACTTGCGCCGCAGTATCCTTTTCCTTGCGGTCTGCAGGACTGTTTGGCGACGTATCTCTATCTTTTGACGCAGCAGGAGTCCAGCACTATTATTCTCGCGGGCGACTCGGCTGGCGCGGGTATGATTTTGTCGGTGATGGTTATCCTCAGAGATGGGGGGCTGCCTCTGCCAGCAGGCGCGGTTCTGATCAGTCCCTGGGCTGATTTGACGCACTCCTTTCCGAGTGTTGCGGGTGATTGTCCGATGGATTATATTCCACCTTCCGGTTTCCACCACAAGCCATCGCCTGCGTGGCCTCCGCCGGATGAGGATGAGCTGAACGAGCTCAAGAAGGTTGCCATGCAGCAGAAGCAGGAGATCGCCGAGGAGAAGGAGATGGACGGGAAGGAGGGCGGGTCGGATGAGGCTCATGTTCCTAGTCAGAAGGATGTCAAGGAGACTACGCATAAGCTGATGTTTGATATCGACGGGGAGCAGATCACGGTCAGGGAGCAGATTCAGGTATGTTTCTCAACCTCTTGAATATCTAAACAACACACTAACCATGACACCAGATCTACACCACCAACGACCTCCTAGCCCACCCTCTGGTCAGCCCGATCATGCAACCCACTCTCGGCGGCCTACCGCCTCTCCTCATCATGGTCGGCGGCGGTGAAGTCCTCCGCGACGAGCAAATCTACCTCGCCCACAAGTGCGCCAACCCCTCGCAGTACCTCCCACCAGAAGCCCTGATGGACGACCACGCCAGAGCCCAGGTGGAAAGATACAAGCCCACCGACGTGTACCTCCAAGTCTGGGACGACATGTGCCACGTCGGCCCTACACTGAGCTTCACCAGGCCGGCAAAATACATGTACCGCAGCGTGGCCCAGTTCTCGGCCTGGGCGCTGGCGAGGGCACAAGGGACCGAGATTGCGATTTTGGATGATGATGTCATCTCTGTCATTTCGAATGATAGTTCTTCGAGTGATGGTGAGGAGGATAAGACAAAGCCCGAGGTGGTAAGTGCTTTCCCATCTTCCTATTCCTATCAGATCCACTAATGTTTCCCCTCAAGAAGACCGAAACCACTGAGCAAAAAACGACGGACCAGGAGAAGAATACCCCTACCCCGACAAGCCCCCTCTCCATCGGCACCGCCTCCTCCCCCTTGCCCCCGTTCAAAAACAACATGATCCGCCACCGCGTCACCCGCCACGGGGACATCTTCCCCCTTGACCCACCCTCCGCTCTGCCAGGGTGCACCATGTCCCGGGATCTGGTTGGGGTAGTCAAAGTAGGCACTGTCAGGAAGTGGTACGAGCACAAAAAGAGGTGGGATGTGAAATTTGCAAAGACAAAGGCGCGTGTGCATAAGCAGCGGATCAAGGACATGAAGGTGGGGTATGAGGTGTTTGGGGAGGGGGAGGTGCCGCCCCCGACGGCGCTGGCGGGGAGGAGGAAGATTGATGATGGGGGTGCGGTGGAGAGGAAGAAGAAGGGGAAGGGGAGGAGTTATGGACTTAGTCTTTGGGGGAGCTGGGGGAGCAAGCATGACGAGAGGACAAGGGGAAATATGGCGTTGGCGGAGGGCGGGCTTGGGAAGTCGGTGGGGAGGGAGTACAAGGCGGGGAATAAGGCTGAGGGGGAGGGGGCGAGGGAGTGGGAGGATATCAGGTTGCAGGGGGTTGAGCAGGAAAAGGAGAACAGAAAGGTTGGGGGGAGTCCGGCGAGGAGCAAGATTAAGAGTTGGAAGAAGCTGGTGAGGGATGAGAAGGAGGATGAGAAGTTGCCCGAGGTGAAGGGGGGGGAGGAGAAGGGGGGAGAGGAGATGAAGAAGGAGGCGGGTTTGAAGCCTGCTGGGCCGATGGTGCCGGAGGAGGAAAGGGGGGGTGATGATGATGATGCAAAGGGGACTGAGGCCGATGCTCAAGACACTGACGAAGGGAATTCTGGTCTTTTGTCTCCGGAGGACAACAGCACAGGCGTGACTGGCAAACGGCTCTTTCTCGGCGGGGTGGCCATGCCATTCTCTATGCGCAAAGAAGCGGAGACGGCCTCCATGATCACACTTGCGCCTGCCTCGCCTATGGAACAGAGTTCCGTCCGGTTGTCGACAGCTGATTCCGTCAGTTTGGCACCCTCGAGAACTGCGCCGCTCGAGGCGCCGGCTATCAGTGTCCAGGGGGTGTCGGATGATGACACCATGTCTACTCCGAAGAGAGCAGCCGAAAGAGCGTCGAATATTACTGTTGCGACTGAGTGGACGACGTTGGATGAGCCGGGAGTGAGTGATCCGAAGGCGTCCAAGAGTGAGGTCGGCACGGTGTGGACAGAAGAGGATGAGGGGGAGGATAAGGCTACGCCGTTGCCGACGCCGAGTGTGCTGACTGGGAGCATGTATACTGCTACTCCTGGGCAGAGCAGGCCGGAGCTGGATCGGTTTGTGACTGCTGATGAGGTGCCTAGGGCATCGTACTGAGACTGGATTTTTCTTTTGTTTGTGTTTTGCTGGATACCCTTTCGATTAGTGTTAGCAAAGATTGTTTGGTTAGAGGGTTTAGTTTTAATGGTAATTGATAGTTTCGAAATTCTTGATATAGTTTTGATAAGTTTGGTGTGATTTTGTTTTGTACAGTAGATAGATATACAGCAGCATGATGGATAGATGCTCCTTGGAAGTCAGTTATAAAACAACGCCCTGAACGCCAGTCCGAAAAATTCCACGCCATATATGTACAACACTTCCCATCCCAGCTCTTCTTCTTCTTCTTTTTCTTCTTCTTCTTCTTCTCCCACACCATTTAATCAAGACCGTTCTCCGACTTCCACCTCGCGAGATACTCCTGGGGGTCCCTCGGCCCGAGCTTGGTGTCGTACTGTCCGTATGTTCTCTTGACGGCGTTGGTGACAAAGGGGGTGAGCTAATTAGATCTTCATCAGCATTTATTCATCTAATTTTGGCGGAGGAGGAGGAAAGAAGTAGTAGGAGAGCGAGTGAGTTACCTTGAACCCAGTCAAATCGGGACAGACATAGGTCCGCACCTTGTTCCACTCGATGATGTAGCCGCCGCGGGAGGTGTGACGGCCCATGGAGCCGGAGCCGGTGCCCTTGTAGAAGCCCTTGTTGACGTCCTTGGTTGTGAGGCGGAGCTTGCGGTAGCGCATGCCCAGGAGGGCGCGGGTGGGTTGCATTTTGGCGGCTGGGTGAGGTTTACTGCTTGGATAGGTGGTGATGTCGTCGTCGTCGTCGTCGTCGGCGTCGGCGTCGGCGTGGGGCAGCTCAGTGGGAAATAATTTTGGCACTGAGGTGGGCTTCCCCCGGCCGGCAAGGAAATGCCAAGACTTTTGGTGGGACGCTCTTACCTCGCAGAAATTGTGGGGTAGAAGCTCTCACCGCCCAAAAGTTCGAGTTTTTGGGAGGTGGGCAGAAAATAATCTTTGGGTGTCTGGAGAGAAAGAGAGCAGGGCTGGTTGATGTGGTTTGCGCAGCCGTTTTACAACACCCGTCACAGCAAATTTACGACTCGCCCACGCGACGGGCAATTCTTGATCACGCGACACCCATTCCTCCCTCAGTATCGCTTCCCCAGAGTACAGCGGCACCACGACGACCACAAAACATGCCAGGCCGCCAATCCCACGGCCGCCCCGTCCTCGCCGGAGGTGGCAGCGGTAAAAACAAGGGCAGCAGACCTCAACCAAGCAGCAGCAACAAACCATCATCGTTCCCCAAATCCCGCTCCAAATCCCAATCCAAAGCCCTCGACGCCTTCGCCCTAGCCGAGGAATCCCTCGGTCCAGAACGCCGCCAAAAAGGCGTGCGCTACCGAGATCTAGAGGAAAAGGTGGAGAAGCCCTCCAAAAAGCGGGCTCACGAGGAGGACGAGGACCAAGATTTTGACGACGAGGATGAGGAGGAGGAGGAGGAGGGAGCGCCGCCGCAAAGGAAAAAGGCCAAAAAGGACGAGTTTGAAGGGTTTTCAGATGATGCCGCGGGGAGTGAGGACAGTGAGGAGTGGCATGTGGGTGTGGGGAGTCAGGATGAGGACTCGGAGTTGGATTCGGACGAGGCGTTTGGGGAGAGTGATGAGGAGAGGTTTGAGGGGTATAGTTTTGGGAAGGGAGGGAAGGATAAGAAAAAGAAAAGGGGGGAGGAGAGTGAGGAGGAGGATAGTGATTTGGAGAGCTTGGGATCGGATGCGATTGATTTGGCGACGGCGTTGGATCAGTATTCTTCTAGTGAGGAGGAGGGTGGGGAGGGGGGGAAGGGGAGTGATAGTGGGGAGGAGGAGGACGAGGAGGAGGAGGAGGACGAGGACGAGGACGAGGATGACGAGTCGACGGATGGGGATGATGAGAGTAGTGAGGATGATGAGGTGGATGAGGAGAGGTTGAGTGAGCTGAGGAGAAAGATTTCTGCTTTTGGCGGGGAGGACAGTGAAGAAGAGGAGGATAATCCGGGGTCGGGGAACGCAAAGCTCAGTTTGGCCGATCTTGGGTTGACGGGGATCAACGACGAGCATATCAAGAAGTCGATCAAGTTGATGAACAAGGAGGACAGGGGCGAGAAGAAGACGAGGCTTGATGTTCCTCTTGCGAAGACATTGCAGGATCGCAATCTGCGAAGCGCGGCTTATTCCGAGACAAACAAGACGCTTGATCGCTGGATTGATACCGTCAAGTCGAACCGTCGAGCGGATCACCTTATTTTTCCACTTGCGCAGAATGCCCATGATAAGGGCCTTGCTAGCGAAGAGCTCATGCCGGTAAATCAGAAGACATCTGGGACGGAGCTTGAGAGCGCTATTTTGAGCATCATGGAGGAAAGCGGTCTCGGCCCTAGCGCTTCCAAGGAAAAGAAGAACGAGGGTGGTCTCATTGATGAGTCAGAGAGGCTGTCAAAGGCCGAGCAAAAGGAGATCACACGGCAGAAGCGTCGGGAGAGAGAATTGCACGATCGCGAGATGGCCCGCCAGAAGCGCATCAAGAAAATCAAGAGTAAGGCTTATCGCCGCATTCACCGCAAGGAGGGTCTCAAGGACGAGCAGGCCGCTTACGATGCTCTTGTCGAGGCTGGTGAGATTGACTCAGAGGCCGAGCGGGAAATGCAAGACCGGAGACGTGCGGAGGAGCGCATGGGTACCAGGCACAGAGAGAGCAAGTGGGCCAAGCTGGGCAAGAAGGCTGGTCGTGCTGTCTGGGACGAGGACTTCCGCGCTGGTCTTACGGATATGGCGCGGAGAAAAGAGGAGCTTAGGCGGCGTGTCGAGGGCCGCAAAGGCTCCGATGATGACTCTGATGTTTCAATGGGATCTGGCGACGAGAAGGATAAGAAGCAGAAGCTGTTGTCTGAGCTCGACCGGGCGGCTCAATACAGCGATGACGATGAACCAAAGTCTGGGCTGATGAGCATGAAATTTATGCAGAGAGGCGAGGAGATCCGGAGGAAAGAGAACGATGATCTTGTGGCACAAATACGTCGTGAACTCGACTCTGAGGCGGAGGAGTCTGGCGAGGAGATGGATATTGGCCGTCGCCAGTATGGCATGGGCAGGGCGGATGCTAAGCTCCCGGCCAACTCACCCAAGTCAAAGAAGAAGGCGGCGAAGTCCTCTGAACCAGTCGTCTTCAAGGACGACGTGGAAATGACCGAAGCACCATCTCGGAAACAGAAGAAGGCTGTCGAAGCTGAACCAGTAGGATCAGCACCCAGCGCGCCTGGAGCCTGGTCTCGCGTGCCGCAAGAGGGTCGCAAGAGCAAGAAAGCGGCCGGCAAGGCCCCGGCAGCGGAGCTCGATCTGTCCAACTCCGTTGCGCTTGCTACCAAGTCATCCAAGCCAAAGTCCAAGACTGCCGAGGCGGATGATGGCAATGACACTGACGACTCTGACGCCATCCACCTTCCCATGGCCATCCGCGATCAAGAGCTCATCAAGCGCGCCTTCGCCGGTGAGGACGTCGTAGGTGACTTCCGCAGGGAAAAGGCCGAGATCATGGACGAAGACGACGACAAGGAAATCGACAACACCCTTCCTGGCTGGGGCAGCTGGGTGGGCGAGGGTGTCAGTGCTCGCGAACAGAGGCGGCACAAGGGGCGGTTCGTGACCAAGGTGGAGGGTGTCAAGAAGACGAGCAGAAAGGATTACAAGCTGAAGGATGCAATTATTAGCGAGAGGAGGGTGAAGAAGGTATGTTTGCTGGCTCGGTTTTCAATATTCCAAGGGACGACGATGCTAACAGACATGATAGAACGATGCCTACCTCGCTACCTCGCTACCATTCCCATTCGAGTCTCAGCAGCAATACGAGCGCTCGTTGCGTCTGCCTGTTGGGCCGGAATGGCAGACCAAGGAGACGTTCCAGAGCACTACCAAGCCGAGGGTTATCGTCAAGCAGGGTCTTATTGCTCCCATGTCGAAGCCTATCGTTTAGGGTGGTGGTGATGTTGCTGTTCTGGTTGTTTGTTCATAGCACTAGAGGGTCACTTAAAATGGGTTCAGTGTTGGATAGGGTACATGATCATTTGCTTTTTTCTTCTGTCTAAGAATGACATCTCTGCGGAGAACAGAAACCCGCAACCATGTGCTATCATCTGATTTTGCGCCTCTGCTTTCAACATTTTATTTCCCCCTACAATAGTGATGCGGCATTTCTTGCTTTTTACCCACCCCCGTCCCGCCCAGGTCATAATCATACACAACTTCCCTCTCTCAATTCTGAGATAACCCCCCCTGGCCTAAACCAACCTCTGTACACCAAAGAAATAATTCCCAATCTTCTCACTCCCCTTGACCTCCTTCCACCCACACCCCGGCACAAACACCACCCCCATCACCCTTGCGTCTCCCCAAACCTTTTTCCCTTCCCGTGAGTTTTCCTTGCTAAACCACTCCCGCAGCTCATACTCATGAAGGTATTTGCCCCAGTCGTGCGTCCCCTTTGGCACCATCTTCAAGATATCCTCCGCCACAAGATTGGTAGTCACCCAGCTCGTCCACGTCCTCGCAATGGTGCTCATGACGACCCACCCGCCCGGCCTGACAAACTTTATCAGTTCCCCCAAAAACTGAGAGGGGTAATCGACGTGCTCGATTACTTCAAAACAAGTGACGATGTCGACTGGGGGGAGGACGAGGGACTCGATTGGGGAGTTGAGGTAGCTTAGCTTTTGGGCGAGGGAGGGGTCTCGTCTGGCGTGGGATTTGGCGACGGAGATTATGACGGGGGAGGCGTCGATTCCGGTTATGGAGAGGGTGGCGGGGAGGCGGGCGGCGGATTCGGCGAAGATGCCTCCTCCGCAACCGATGTCGAGGTAGGTTAGGGAGGAGTAAGGGGGGGAGGTTGGGGAGGAGGAGAGGCAGGAGCGGATAAAGTCGTGGCGGTGGGGGTTCATGAGGTGGAGGGGGCGGGAGGGGCCGTGGGGGTCCCACCAGGAGGAGGCTAGGGAGGAGAAGTGGGAGATTTCGGTTTCGTTGACGCTGGAGGTGGTGGTTGTGCTGTGGGGGCGACATGGTGGGGGGTTTGGTTGTTGTGATGGGTGGGCGAGGAGGGGGAGGAGACGGCGGGGTGGTTGTGACGGTCTTCGGAGAAGAGCCCGGGGAGTGGCTGGGCGGAGGAGGGAGGACCGCATGGTGATGATGTTGGCTGGCGGGCACCTTGCGGGATGCTGAGGTTTTTGAGAGAAGAGCTGGAATTGGCTTGCGCGCGCGCGCAACGTCAGATGCAGATTCCCAGCGACATGGGTCTTACTGCCAAGGACTTGCAGGGTTCCAGAACAATTCTAGCGTTGGCTCGGCGTTTGTGCCCCGCAGCCGTCCATCCATCAGCCGCGGGGAATCTGTTCCTGTGAAAGCCGAGCCGCCGCCCGCAGCGAGGGGCAGATGAGAAATTCCATGTGGGAATGCGGTCAATGGCATGGCGGTTGTTTGTCAGCGACCGTCATCTTGTAGGGGACAATGTTATGTAAGGGGACCTGGATAGTTGGTAATTGGTGACATATTCACTCTCTCTCACTATCCCTCCCCTTAAATTTGTAGATTTGTAAAAGCCATAGCAAATAGTGATCACGTCAAACAGACCAACTCTTCGGCATCGCCAGAGTGGTGAAAGTAACCCCACAATCGGGAAACCCTGCTGCCCGCTGCCGAATAGAGACGTCCTCGTGTGACTTGTACCGAGCGACTGGGTTCACCGTCATAAATTGGCAGGTGATCACCGAGCTGTATATACATATATACCACGGTCTCGTCCCAATCCAGACTCCTCCTAAGGAAGCCGAGTAATGAAAGTCGCCGCCGCTATACAATAGGACCCTTGGTGCATTCGCCCCGAAGTCGCTCTCCAACTTTATAATTTTTCGGGGACCCCTCACAAGTCGCAATTGAGCCGACTGAACCCCCACTGCAACCGAACGACCTACCGAGCGCCAGCCAGACAGCTAACTCGGTCCCAGCACCACCATCATTGCGTGCGCGCATCCTGCTTGACCGTTGTCGCCGCAAACCAAACAAAATAATCTGAACGTTTATACCCTTTCAACTCTTGTGCCGTAGCGACTTCCAGTTGGAAGCGCACATAACAAAGCCCCAACAATGCCCTCCACCACCACCGCAGTCGACAACATCGACTCCTCACAGTTCGACTCCATCCCCGACACAATCGAGGCCTTCCGTATGCTCCCCCTTTCCCTCCCCTACCCAAACCCCCTATGCTAACTCCCCGCCCCCCGCCCCCCAGGCAACGGCGAATTCGTCGTCATCCTCGACGACCCCTCCCGCGAAAACGAAGCCGACCTCATCATCGCCGCCGAGTCAATCACGACCCAACAAATGGCCTTCATGATCCGGCACTCCAGCGGGCTCATCTGCGCCCCCATCCTCCCCGACCGCTGCTCGTCCCTCGACCTCCCCCAGATGGTCACCCACAACCAGGACCTCCGCACGACCGCCTACACCATCTCGGTCGACTCGGCCGACCCGTCCGTCACGACGGGCATCTCGGCCCACGACCGCGCGCTGGTGTGCAGGCAGCTTGCTGATCCTGCCTCCACCCCCGAGACGTTCAGGAGGCCGGGACATGTTTTTCCGCTTAGGGCGAGGGAGGGGGGTGTGAGGGATCGACGGGGGCATACCGAGGCTGCTATCGACTTGTGTAGGTTGGCGGGGAAGAAGCCTGCGGGAGTGATTAGCGAGTTGGTGGAGGATGGGATCGAGGTTGAGGGACGGGCGGTGAGGGAGGAGCCGGGGATGATGAGGGGGCAGGCGTGCGTGGATTTTGCGAGGAGGTGGGGGTTGAGGGTGGCGACGATTGCGGATATGGTTGAGTATCTTGAGAAGACGGAGGGGAAGTTGGTGAAGGGGGGGGTGAATGGGACGCAATAAGTTTGCGGGGGGACAAGAGTGTTGTACAAAGTTGGAGAGACGACTCCCCCAGGGTGTGGTATATTGCTACGCTTGTGTTTCCGATATGGCTTTTGTCTCACCTTTCTCTCTTGCTTTTGCTTCACTGCAAGGTTGGATAGTCCCTCTGGCTTCTTGGCATAGAGCACACATCACCACGAGGAGGCTGCTTTCTGTTGTCTTTGAAATCATGTAAATGCAAATTCTGTGGTATTTTAAGGTCTGGGGCGCATTGCGGGCATTTGGAGAGGTTAGGTGCTTTGCGGTAGATAAAAAAGAAGAGAAAGTGTTTTCCTTTTCGTGTGTTTCAGCAGGCGTGTGTGTGAAGTCGTTGGCGGAATCTTAAAAGTGGCATGGTCGGCGATTTGACTAGGTCTTCATCAGTCACTGCAAGCAGGATTGCATGGAAGCTTAGGAGAGGAGCATCCCGATTACCTGCTCCGGGAACAGCTATAACAAATCAGAGGATACAAAACAGCCACTCGTTATGTATGCAAACTAGATCGCTACCCATAAACCATGACCTATATACCTAACATAATCCCAAAAACGAAAGAGGGGGTATCACGCTCCTATTCCCATATTAACCATCAGTTGTAGTGTCCGAGAGCATGACCCCGTGACCTATAACCATTCATCCCATCCATCCTTACACATCTAATCATTCCCAAACATCCATCACACAATCGTTAACCTCAATATCCATCATCATCATCATCACCATCATCACCATCATCAAGACTCATCAAGCCTGCCCTCGCCCCCCAGCCTGAATAACCAACAAACTAGCCCTGATCCCCGTGGTGATCAACCTCTCCGCTACCTCCCCAACGGTAGTCTTCAGGTCCGGCACCCCGCCACCAGCAGCGCTACTGCTGCTCCCACCGACCTCAGCAAACCCCTTCTTGGCATTGCGTCGGCCCAAAACGACAACATCACCGGCATTGTCCCTCGTGTTGCCCACCGCTTGTTGAGCAAGCAGGATAATCTCCTTGAGTTCCTCCTTCCCAGCGGGGACATCCGCCTCAGAGAAATTCACTCTAGTAGCGAGGTCTTCCGGGAGAGAGCTCTTGAGCGTGGCGTAAAGCGCACCATCCTCAACGTCAGTTCCAGAGACGGGAGAAGAAGAGACAGCAGTCTTGTTGGTCTCGCTGTTGTCTTCCGTCGTGGTGGTCGACGCAGCAGCGGATTTGGCAGTGGAGGACAGTTTTTCTTTTTCGCTGCTGTTGATCCGGACGATGGTGGCCGAGACGTGGGGGTTCTTGGCTAGTTGAAGAACGATGCGCAGCGCGACGCGGTCGTCGGCGCCGCCGAAGAAGGGGAAGAAGACGTGGTGGGACTTGTTGGCGACGGGGAGGACGGCGACGTCGGCTTGGTTGCGGATGGAGATGGCGGATTTGGTGCGTTGGAGCTCGGGGCGGTCGACGGGCTTGGTGATGCCGCCGAAGCCGTTGTCGATGAAGATGCCTGCGTTGCAGATGGCGGAGGCTTTCTCGAGGGTCTGGCTGATGAAGTCGAGATGGGTGAAGGATTTGAAGCGCTCGTTGGTGTCGGCTGTGACGGGGAAGGACTGGTCTTCGGACATGGAGCCGCTTTCGCCCCATGGGATCAGGGCGAAGTCGGAGGAGACTTCGTGGGCTTGGGTCATGAGGGTTTCGGCGTAGGAGTCGGCGGGGACGACGGCGACGCGGCCCGAGACGGCGACGTCGTGGAGCTGGGAGAAGGTGCGGAAGGCGTTGACCACGGGGTCGCGGAGAGAGTAAAAGTCTTCGCCTTCGGTGAGGTGCATGACGGATGAGGTACGGTCGGTGAGCTCGAGAATGCGCATACCGTGGACTTCCAGGGGGCGTTTCTTGATGATGACCTCGGTGGACTCGGCATCAGGGGTTTCGGGCTCGACCTGCTTCTTGGTGACGCTTTCGGGGCTGAGGATGGTGATGAAGGTGAAGAGGCTGGGGAGACTGTCGAGACGGAGATGAACCATGAGACGGCGGATCTGAGAGTCGACGCCCTTTTTGAGACCGCCCTGCAGGCTCTCAGAGGGGTTCAACTCGTTGCCGTCCCAGTCGATCTCACCCTTTCTCCATCGCTCAACCTTGGTTTGGTACCACTTGGGATACAGCAGCTTTGTCATGGGGGTCGTGGCTACGGTTGTGACCAAAGCCATAACAACGAACATGCTGAAGGTGGTTTCGGACAGGATACCTGCCTGGTAACCAATGTTCTGCAATATTGTCAGTATGCCCGTTACCAAAAGTTCCAGATCGTCACGCGACACTCACAAGCACGATCAATTCGACCAGACCCTTGCAAGACATCAGGGCGCCAATAGTGAAACTCTCACGCCAGAGCAGCTTGTTGGCGCGAGCTGCGAGGGTGCCACCAATGATCTTACCAGCAAAGGCGCAGGCAATGACCCCGATGCAGTAACCCCATGTGATACCATCGTTGAGAAGACCTAGGTTGGTCTTCAGCCCAGACAGGGCAAAGTACAAAGGCAGAAAGAGGACCGAGATAAGATCCTCAATCTTCTCAGTAAGCTTGATAGCGAAACCGCCATCGTGGGGACAGATCAGTCCCACCAGGAAGGCTCCAAAAATGGGATGAACACCAATGATTCCTGGTCCAGTTAGCGTATGTATGGGATCCTTGGGATATGATACCAACCCACCAGTAAACCAAGAGGAGGCCAGAACCATGAGCAAGGTCAGCGCAACCATTCCCTGGGTAGGGCCATTATGCAAGCTTCCGGTCCGCTTGAGGATCCAAATGAAGGGTGGCCGGATGGCGAAGATGAGGAACAGAGTCCAGCCAATGCAGCAGAGCAAGGCCCAGAGCGCGGCCAAGCCACTGCTGTTGTTGGTCAAGGCGACGCAGAGCGCGAGAAGCACCCAGCCTGTCACGTCATTTCCAATGCCGGCAGCCAGAACGGTGACACCGACACCCGAGCGGAGGAGGTTCAGCTCGGAGAGAATGCGGCAGAGGACGGGGAAGGCAGTGATCGCAAGGGCTGTACCGATGAACAATCCGAAGACGCCAAAGCCAATAGCTTCGTCGACGTGAAACTCCTTGTACAGACCCCAGGCAATGGCAAAGCCAAGGCCAAAGGGCAAGATCATGCCGGCCATGCCTACACTTAGGGCGGCCTTCCAATTTTGCGTGAAGAGACGGATGTCTACTTCCAACGCAACGAGAAACAAGAAAATGATGAGACCGAGGTTGGCGACATTGTTGAAGACTGGCATAGACGCAGGCGGGAAGATTGCTGTTGAATATGGTCAGTAACACCAAACACATCATCTTCACTCTAGGAAACATACCGGCCTCAAACCCGGGTATCCTCATCATCACCGTGGGGCCCAACAGAATGCCGCCGAGAACCTCGGCGATAACACGAGGTTGGTGAAGCCATCGTAGCGGATCTGAACGGTTGGTTAGTCAGCATAACCTAGCTTCGTGAGATGACTAGGTAACTTACAAGCTAGTAATTGACAGAAGATGATGACAATGATGGCCTGTGTGTTGTTGCACGCGTCTATTGTTAGTCAAGCCGAGAAACACGACGGCCCGGTCACCGCGTGGGCCGTGAAACGAAACACGGCCCGCGGCTCTGGACCTGGGAGTTGGTGAGGTCGGACGGCGGAGGTGTCAACGACATACCTGTACGATGAAAAGAGTGATGGGGTTGGAAGGCGTATACACAATCGGGTTGACGCCCTCGAGGACACCAGCTTGCGGAGGGGCTCCGGTGCTGTTGCCCGTAAGCTCACCGCCTGCCATCGTGTGTGTGGTACGTCCGTTTTGTGTTGATGGACGTGTCAGACAACGAGCGAGCACAACAAGAACAAAGTCGCCGAAAAGAGAAGAAAAAGGTCGAGGGAAAGAGGGCCGGTCTCGTCTCCAGATGTGGTCGAAACAAAATGACCTGGGGCACGGGGACCTGACCTGGAGGAGTCGGGGGAGATGGAGATGACTATATATCACTTCTGACAGAATATGCCCCCGGACCGGGCTGTTTGCTGCATGTCCATGGGTTGCTATCTTGGGCAGGTAGCTCTGCTCGGTATCGCCATTTCCACGTGACGGCGCACCGGGCTGAGTCGAGAAACAAGCTTCTCGTTAGCCTTTCTTGTGTGGTTGATGAAACAGGATTGATGAGGCACCCACAGCTGCCTGAGTGATCCCTCAGTACTTGGCGGGCAATTGACGGGCAACGGGGGAGCGGGCGCTGTGTCTCGCTCAGTTCGCTCAGTTCCCGCCGCCCTGGCCGCTTTCGCCTTTGTTCAGCTGATGCTTTTCTCTGGTAACCCTCCTCTCCTCCTCCCATCCCTCCAACAAGGGGTCAGCAGAGCAACCGGGGGCAGCGCCGGGACATCGTCAGGCATCACAAGCAAGTCGCTGTCGGGTCAGATATCAAGAGTCTCGATCTCTGAGTGGCTGCTCCGGTTGACGTTCCATCCGACACCCCTCCCCGGGTTCTGCGCAAGCGGGAGCCAAGATCCGCGCTAACGGTGGTGCCAATTAATGCCAAGGAGGTCCGGACCGGCTCCAACCTCTCTGCTCCTGGGCGAACCGTTCTGCCATCATCGCCGCCTCCTCTTTTGTCGCCAATTGCGCTTCCCACACAAGTGACACGGAACTTTTGATGGGGAAACACAGCAGAGAGCCTCTGAGATATTTATTGTCATCTAGAGGCCTGTCAAACACGGCAAACACCCGACCACGGAGCTCTGATTCCACCTGAGCATATGCTGTGAACCCTAACCCTCATGCATCTCTCCCAGAAGGGCATCTCTTGAGCGGTTGGTTCGTGCTCTGCAGCCTGCCATTATCGCCCATCGTTCATCTCAACCAACAGGTGTACAGCTTCCGCCCTGCATCGACCTGCATCATCACCACCCACCACCAACAAGACCCGATATCAGAAATCAGTCAGAAATCAGCATGCTGCGGAACGTCGTATGGTGTGTATGATTCTCGCCCATCTCAGCGTCTTCCAAAAACAATGGCCTCAACTTCAGCACGTGCCCATAGAATTAGTTGGCGAGAGAGGGGACTGTTGAATTTAAGGCCTGAGAAATAAGGTAGTATTGCATGGCGCTAGGCCGCCAGGTCTGTGGGGGACTAACGGGATTACGTGAGGTGAGCTATATAGGGAAAGGAGGTTTTGGGGTTTATAGGGTATTTAAATACTTTTAGTATTACCTTTCCATTAGTTATCGATTTCTTTAGTTAATTAGTATTATAATCAATATTATACTTATACTTATAATTATATATTTAATTAATTTATTACTTGTAGTTTTAATAGTTATAAATCCAATAATAATTTTTCATAAATAAAGCTCTAATTTTATTATTATTATAATTACCCACAATATAAAATATAGTATATTTCATTAAAGTTACTAATTGAAATAATTTAAATTAATAATTTATAGTAAATATCTTCGACTATAAAGTTCTAAAGTAAATATTACAAAATTTAATCTAAAAAGTTTAAATTTGAAAAAATAATAAATAAATAAACGATAAATTGAAAAAGAAAATTTATAAATTAAATATTATTGTGTCACGGCACTAAAGCGAAGCTCATGGGAGAACAGGATGTAGAGCTCGGGAAAAGCAGCGCCGCTTTGGCTAAAGGGATATACTAAATTTAAAGCCTAAAAATAAGGTAATATTATATAACTTTAAACTGCTAGGTTTATTGAAAACTAACGGGATTACGCAAGGTAAATTATAAAGAAAAGAGGTCTTAGCTTTTATAAAGTATATCAACACTCCTAATACTACCAGTCCACTAATTTTCGGCTTTTTCGGCTAACTAATATTATAACCAATAATATACCTATAATTATAACCTGATCAAGTTGTAAGTCCTAGTTTTAATAGGAATAGCTCCCAATCGACGAGCATCATCATTGTTATTTGTCTATTCCAAGACTTTTGCACCACAAGGAAACTACCCTCCCAAAACACTTGGCCGTTATTGGAACGCCATGTTTCTATCTTGAGCTGGAACAAACCGAGAAGCCCAGAAAACAAACCCGAGGCCTTGACCAGCAACCAGAGAAATCCAGAGCTTGGCGTTTCCAAACATATCCGAAACGACCTCCTCCGGCCATGGACTTTGGAACATGGGGAAGCCGTACTCCTTCCCAGTCTTTTCTTCTCCCAGAGAGGCTAAAGGTGACATGCCAAGGTGAGCCGACACCTCGGTGCCGCACGGCGCAGCTCTCCAACCGCCGCAGATGATCTGTGCCGCTCTCCCGCGAGGCCAGCCAGGCCAAACCGCTTCCAAGAACATCTTCCGCAAATTTATGATGACAGGCGGGAAGGGGAGATCTCAGATCTTAGCTTGCCACAGCCCCCAGCTCCCGTCCCCAACCGGCACTTTAGACTTGCACTTGGACACTGCCATGCTTGTCTCGTTTGGGGTCTGTTTGTCCAGACCTCTCTTAGTCATTATATCCAACCAACACGACTCACATCTCAAGTGAAGCCAACTAGTGCAGATCTCTCATCGTGAATGTTCATCTGGTCCTAGACCTAGCCCAGTCCGGAGCCCGGGCCGGCCGGTAATCCAAGTCCAAACAGATCAGGCCCGACCGGCCTTGGAAGCCCGGACACAGCGCACATTAGTGGTTGGCCTGCCATACACTGAGCTACTGAAACCGGCTAGCAGCACATCCCACAGCCATACTTTGGAGAAGTCTCCAACGGAAACTCGTTCTCCCTGTTATCCATCATCTACACAGCACAAATGCCAGCAAGTGCTGTTAGTCCCCATCACAGGACGGCCGGGCCGGGGTCCCCATCTGGTCCCCAGTACCAAACTTGTGGTCCTTTGCCCTTCTCATCTAACCTGTCCCGTCTCTACTGAAAGCAAGATAGAGTTGCTCAGACGAGGGTCAACTTCAAGCCGACCGCCACCTTATCTTCACATTATGCAAGGAACGTTATGTAAGTTCTATGCTAGGAATGGGCTCTCAACCGTTGACCAGGTTGATTGTATCATGACCTTGTGCTTGTTCCATTTCGTCCGCGTAGTGGTCCGTCACGACAGGTCGACCTTGGCTTGGTATCCAGGTTAAGTGAGGTGATATTCAAGGCGGCCTATCCCCAGGACTTTCTTTCTCCTTTCATCCCATCATTCAGAGTTTTCTTCTCTCTTCGCATTTTTGAATTCTCAATTGACCAAGTATCACAAGAAGAAATTTGGTTACGTTTCTCTTCTCCCTATGCTTGGTAACACACCTTCATCTTTTTTTTTTGATATACTTTTCTCTTTTGTCTCTTTATCTACTTGACATTACACGACATCGTCTTATCTCTGCTTTGGTAACAGAGGGATAGCGGCCCAAAATGAAACTGCTGCCCGTTTTTGCCGTCTCCCTCTTGGGCTCTACAGCCCAAGCAGGGCTTTTCTCTCGTGCCCCGGGAGGTGGGTTCTTTGGTGGGAGCTTTGGGTTTGGGTTTGGAAGTGGCAACAATGGCAACAATAACAACAATGTCGACGGCCCTGGTCCAGATGGCGAATTCAACACAGCTGTTGACAGCCCTGGTCCAAACGGGGAGAACTTTGACCCTACCGCTGCCGGTCCTGGGTTTAATGGTGGTGGCGGTGGTTATGGGGGTGGATATGGAGGAGGGTACAGCGGCAGTGGAAGAGGTCAAAGCTGGAGGAGTAGATGGAGAGGGAGATTCCGTGGCGGATCCAGCAATGGAAATGGCAACGGCAACGGTCAAGGACAAGCCGGCAACGGACAAGGTGGTGAAAATGGCGCTGGCGATGCCCAGCAGCCACCCCAACCAAAGAATGTTCTCATGAAAATCGGGAATACTATCCTCCCGCCCGGAGGGCAATGCACCTTTGACGGTATACCCCCTTCCTCCACTCCTTTTGTTTCTTCCTCTGATAACTAACCCCCTCTGTAGATCTCACTCAAGAACCAATCCTCCTTTTTCCTCAGGGAGCCCTCAACAGAACTTACCTCGCCGTTGGTCTCTCCATGTCTCTTAATATCTCCTCCTTTGCAGTCTTCGATCCCACTTCGCTCGTTGCAGCAGCACAGTTGTCCTTGACGTACCTCCAGTCGGGGCTGAGACTGCGGGATTTTGAGAACCCGGTGTTGACGTCGGAGACAAACCCGCTGGTGCCGTTTATGATGGTCAATGGGGGAAATGGGACGGGGCAGGTGATGATGATTACTATGCTGTATACCCAGCCTCAGCCGTTGGTTATTGAGGAGGGGGTTCAGATTGGGTTGGCGGAGATTGCGGGGAGTGAGACGGGGGAGGGGAGGGGGGGGTTTGACTTGCAGGGCTTTTTGGAGGGGTGTGGTGTTACGAGTGGGGTTGTGGGGAGTGGGTTGGTGATGGTTAATGAGACGATTAATGGGAATGCTGGAGCGGGAGCAGGGGGTGAGGCTGGTGCTGGTGCCAGTGCTGGTGCTGATGCTTCTGCCACTGCTGGGGCTACGGCTACAGCTACAGCTGGGGCTGATGCTTCTGCCACTGCTGGAGCCGGGGCCGGTGCTGCTGGTAACGCAACTGCTGGGGCTGGGGCCGATGCTGGAGCAGCTGGTAATGCTACTGCTGGTGCTGGTGCCGATGCGAATGCCGGGGCTGGCGCTGCTGCCGGAGGAGAACAAGTCACCACAATTATCACCACCGGTGCCGACGGTCAGGCGGCTACTCTCACATCTACCATCGCTGCTGCCGGAGCGGGTGCCACTGCTGGAGTTGATGCTTCTGCCAATGCTACCGCTGGTGCAGGTGCAGGTGCTGATGCCAACGCTGGTGCCAGTGCCGGTGCCAGCGCAGGAGCTGGGGCAGATGCCGCGGTGACAGTCATCACCACCACTGATGCCGCCGGCTCGGTAGCAACCCTCACTTCCACCTTGGCTGGCGGTGCTGCTGGAGCCGGAGCAGGAGCTGTCACAGTCATCACAGCAACTGATGCTGCTGGAGCCGTCGCAACTGTCACTTCTACTCTCGCTGGGGGTGACGGAGCCGATGTTGCCGCCAATGCTACTGCCGGAGCAGGAGCCGGGGCTGATGCCAATGCCGGAGCTGGGACAGACGCAGCAGCAACTGCCAGCGCCGGAGCCGGTGCCAACGCAGGAGCTGATGCTAACGCCAGTGCTGGTGCTAATGCCGGAGCGGCAGCCAGTGCAAATGCTAGTGCTGGGGCTTCTGCGGGTGCGGGTGCGGGCGCTGATGCGAATGCTGGTGCTGGTGCTACTGCCACTGCTGGAGCAGATGCTGCCGCTACCGCTACTGCAGGTGCTGGTGCCGGAGCGGAAGCCGGGGCCGGGGCCGGGGCCGATGCGAATGCCGGTGCCGGAGCAGCAGCAAACGCCACCGCTACCGCCGATGCTGGCGCCGGTGCAGGAGCAGCAGCAACAATCGCCACCATCAGCACAACCGACGCCGCCGGGCAACCTACCGTCATCACCACTACCGTTGCCCCTGGTGTCCTCCCCAACCCGGGGGTTGTTGGCACTGGAGATGCTGGTGCTGGTGCTGGTGCTGGGGCAGGTGCTAACGCTACGGCGGGGGCATCAAGGGCTCTTACGACGCTCACGCAGGAGGTTACCATCACTGTTACTGACGAGGCGAACGTGGCGGTTACGTCTACGATTACGTTTGTGTCGACGATTATGGTCGCTGATACTACGGGAGCAGGAGCAGGATGTGAGGCTACTCCTGAGCCGGTTACGGTTACGGTTACTGTTACTGCTGGGGCGGAGGCGGGGGCGAGTGCTACTGCTGGTGCTGGAGCTGATTCTGGGTCGGAGTCGGGATCTGGGTCTGGATCTGGTAGTGATTCTGGATCAGGATCTGGCAACGGGTCGGGGTCAGGGTCAGGATCGGACTCTGGCTGTGATGTTTGTGACCAGATCAACGGTGGTGATAATAAAGACAACAACGGCAATGGTAACGGAAACGACAACGGAAACGATAACGGTAACGGCAATGGGAATGGAAACGGTGATGATGAGCCCTGCGATATTTGCGACAGCGTGAATGGCGGTGGGGATAATGACAACAAGGATAACAAGGACAACAAGGATAACAAGGACAACAAGGGCGGTTCCAACGGCTCCGGCTCCGGCAACGCCGGCTCTGACGATAACAGAGACGGCGGGCGCAATGGTGGTGACTCGGGATCTGACAACAAGGAGCCATGCGATATCTGCGAGAGCATCCACGGTGGTGACAACAAGGACGGAAAGGACAGGGGCGACTCTGGTTCTGGTTCAGATCGTGGCAGCACCGATGATGGTCGTGAGAATAAGGATGATAAGGACCGAGATGGCAACAACCGTGACTATGGATCTGGTGGCTCTCGAGGGGGCTCTGGTGATGATGACCAGAACGACCGTGATAACAAGGACAATAAGGATGGCATGGACGGTATGGACAAGGGCAATAAGGATAACAAGGACAAGGATAACGGCAACGGCGACGATAGAGGCAGCTCTGGGTCCGGCTCTGATAGCCCTTGCCAGCGCCCGGGAGGCGACTGCAACAACATGGGCGGTGGCCGCGGAAACAGCACATCCACTGGCGGCACTGACTCCAAAGACAACAAGGACAACAAGGACAACAAGGACAACAAGGACAACAAGGACAACAAGGACAACAAGGACAACAAGGACAACAAGGACAATATGGGCAACGGAGGCAATCGCGATGGCCAAAACGGAGAGAACAACAACGGCGAGGGCAAAGACCCCAACAGCCCATGTAGCACCTGCAGCGAAGGCGGTTCGCAGACCACAACAGACGCCGGATCCAACGGCGACGACGACAACAACAGGCGTCCTGCGCCCACGTCAACGGCATCTGGTGGGGGTGAGGGAAAAGACGGTAAAGGTAGCAACGGCGGAACAGGTCCGATAACCTCCTCCATGACTGATAACACTCCTTCCCCGACGAATGCTGACACGGCTGGCAGCGCACCAACATCAGTATTCAAACTGACGGTAATATACCCGATCGATGCCACGACGTCGGCTGGGAACGGAACGATACCTGCTGCTGCTGCGGCTCAGGCAGGGATGAACGACTCGCCCAGCGTTGAAACGGCTGCCGCCGCCGCTTTGGGGGCCGAGAGCACCGATTTAGCTTCTTCTAGTAGCTCTGGGCCGGCGATTGTTGTTGTTGGGAGTGGAGCGATGAAGGAGGCTCATCCTGGGGCTGTTTCGGCGTTGCTTCTTGGGGGGGTTGCGGTTGTTTTCTTTGTATTTTTGTAGTTTTGGCGAAAGGAAAAGGGGATTGGGCTGGGAGGAGGCATTGCATTGGGATGGTGTTATGGTTGATTGTTTTGTTTTGGTATTGGGAGTTATACTAGGGCTGGTTGCTATAGATAGATATCCCTTGGGTAGACTAGAGGTCTGATAGTCTCTGCGGTCCAGAGCACCGGGTTTGGCGGGGTTTGATTTTGGCGTTTTAAAAGGTTACTATATTGAGGCCTGGTTCAGCTCTCGGTGTTTCTCTTCTTCCTATTAGCTATCTATTCTGTAGTGATATTTTAAACTGGATGCTCTTTACAATGACACTAGATAGGATGAAAGTGATTAGAGAGCAAGTGAATAGGGAGCAAGTAAATAGGACGACAGAAACCCTAGCCACATGATGCAATGCAAGTGAGGAAGATGACCAGCTGCTGCAGACGGACACAAGGAAGGAATTCTCCGGACGTTACACAAAGAGCAGACGGACGAGCTTTACAAACGGCCAGTCCCATCTTGGCTGCCAAGATAAAGGAGCAGCCCAGCCCAATAGGCCCAAGCCAAGGAGCAAGAGAGAATCCCCCACAGTGGCCCGTGCTCGACAGCCGAAAACCGCTGTCAAAGTGCGGCTCTGAACTCTGGACGCTTCGATGCATCCTCCACCCAGCAGCAACCCTGCCCGACAAGAAACTCCCATCTTTAACCACCCCTCCAACCAAGCTTCCACTCAACCACACAAACCACCGACCGACAAGCACCCAGCTCATGACGTCCGCGCCCACTCTCGATACTGTCCCACCTTCTTCTTCTCAGCAAACTGGCCATACTAGATAACAGAAAGAAACCAACATACCTATCTTGTCTGCTATCTCCACAATTTCACATCGCGCAACCGCTACCTGCTACCTACCCCCGTCTTCATCTGCCTCTCTCGCTACGCCGGCACAATCACGCGCTTCCACCGCCGACAAGATGATGCCCAACCCGCACGTATATGGCCACCACCAGTATCCCCAGGCGGACTCGGCCTGGATGCACCAGCAGACATCGCACCAGCACCACGTCCAGGCCGCTGCTCAGGGTGCTGTGAATGTGGCCCAGCAGCAATATCACAACCGCCTGGCTGGCGCTCACAATGGCGTCAATGCCCTGGCGCAGAGCCACGCGCAGGAGAGCTCGTTGGATGCGTCCGTCTCGGAGGACAATAGACGGACACTGCAGTACATCGCCGATCTGCTTGATGAGAACACGCGCGAGGCGGCCTTGTTGGAGCTCAGCAAGAAGCGGGAACAGGTACCCGAGTTGGCACTTATCTTGTGGCACTCGTTTGGTAGGATATCTCCGCCTCCTTTCTGTGGCATACTTTAGGCTAACAAGTGACATTAGGCGTCATGACCTCGCTCCTTCAAGAGATCATCAGCGTGTACAGCTTGTTGAACCCATCGCAACTCACTGCGGCGGCTTCCAACAGAGTGTGCAACGCGCTGGCTCTCCTCCAGTGTGTTGCGTCGCACAACGAGACACGCACATTGTTCCTAAGCGGTAAGGCGCGCCGGCTATAGTTTATTGCTTTTTGATATGCTTGCTGACATACCTTCCAGCTCATATTCCTCTTTTCCTGTATCCATTCCTCAACACAACCTCCAAGTCTAGGCCGTTCGAATACTTGCGGCTCACGTCGTTGGGAGTGATTGGTGCGCTGGTTAAGAATGACTCGACTGAGGTGATCAACTTCCTGTTGACCACCGAGATCATTCCTCTGTGTCTTCGCATCATGGAGACGGGGTCCGAGCTCAGCAAGACGGTGGCGATTTTCATTGTCCAGAAGATTCTGCTCGACGACAACGGCCTCAACTATATTTGCGCCACATACGAGCGATTCTATGCGGTCGGGACAGTGTTGAGCAACATGGTGGGCCAGCTTGTCGAACAGCAAACGGCTAGGCTCCTGAAGCATGTTGTGCGATGCTTCCTTAGGTGAGTACTCCTTGGTCGCTGTCTACCAGCGTCACGCTGACTAGGTGCGCAACAGGTTGAGCGATAATGCGAGAGCCCGTGAGGCGTTGCGTCAGTGCCTCCCAGAGCCTCTGCGAGACAACACTTTTGCCGCCGTCCTTCGGGATGACGCCGCAACAAAGCGTTGTCTGCACCAGCTCGTTGTCAACCTTCAGGAAAATGTAGTCGAACCCAGCGGCCAACTTGGAATCTGAACCAGCATGTGCTTTCAGCAACACCGGAGCTAACTGAGAATAAGTAGCAGGGAAAGGACATGATGCTCGACCGCCTCTATAAATAAGCGGGGATTTCTTTCTTGTCTCTAGAACCAAGCGACAGTCCCACATGGGACAGCACGACGACGCGGCACTGTTTTTTATTTGATACCACAATGATACAAACCACCGCCACCATAAACATTCATGCACACACACGCAAACACACCAATGTATATCCACCTAAACAGCACACATTGCCGATTCAACGGTTTTTCACGGGTTTCATCGATCACGAAGGGAAAGATTCTTGGGAGGGGGGGGACAGGAAAAGTGTCTTTTTTCTTCTCTTTCTCGCTTTTCAACAGCGACGGTAGGCTAGTGGGGAAGGGGAGTATAAGAGAAGGGTAATCGGGGTTCGGCTCCTTTTTGGGTTTCTCTTTGTTTTCGGGAAAGATGACGACAACGGGGCACGTGTGTTTTTTCAAAAGCATACCAGCGAGTATATGAAACGGGAGGGCTGCTTCATTCCGAGGGATGAGGCAAATGGCGGCGGGGAAACAAGGGATTATGGGAAGCGACAACACATATTCATTGCACAAGGCGAGACAAGGAGGCGTTTATGGGAGTTTTTTTCTCTTTTCTGGGGGGTCAAGGGCTTCATTCTCATTCATAACACCATGTATATTTCTTAAGCGGGACATGTTTATTATTCTTTACATAGTCTTCGTATTTTTTTTTCGTGGCTTTCTTTTCTTCTCTTTTCTTCTCTTATCGGAGTGAAAAGGACGGGGGTGGCAACGGCTTTTAGCATAGCAAGGGGCTGGGAAATCTTTTTAGTAGCTTTTTTTTTATTGTTTCCTGTGGTTTTATTCTCGTTTTGTTTTGATGATTGTGAGATGAGTTGGAGTTTGATGTGAAAAGTGGTTTTGGAGGATAAAAGGTGGGGGTGGGGGGGTGTGGTGAGTGGGATGGATGGATGTACAAGGTTGGAAGGTTTGGTGAGCGACTGACTGAGGAGAAGGAGATTTACCTGCGCGGTTACTTATTTTTGCTATAACATATACCATATATCTTATACCGATGTGGAAGGAGGGAGAAGGTGGGGAATGGATCAAGAGGAGGAGGATGCTGACTTAGTGCGAAGATGGGACTGTCGAAGTGAGAAGAGGTGGGTGGGTGGATTGTGGGAAAGTTGGCGGTTGTTGTGGTGCTGCTGTGTATGATCGGTAGAAGGAAGAGAGGTGCTGTACCGGTAGCGTATATGCTGATTGAACGCCTGAAGATGGAAGGGAATGGAATAGCTGTGATACCCTCACTATTTTTCTGACCATCGAATGCAGACCACGTGAGCAAGTGAGTGTGATGGTATCGTGAGCGGGGTTGGTTTGCACCTACTCCTCCCCGCCGCTGGCCCGTCGCGCAAGCGAGACTTCAGGGACGGTGTCATCGGTGAGGCTTGGCTTTCTTTGCAGTCGAAGCAAGGGTTGGAGCTGGGGTAGGTAGGGATATAGGCCAGGGTTGTTGTTGGTAGTCGCACGACCACCAACTGAAGATCAGAAGTTGGGGGGACATTCGAGGATGATTCTAATTTCACTCTGTGAAAAAAAATGTCATTCTCGACGAGATGCTCAATACCGATAGGTTGCGCTTTTTCAAAAGTTATTTCCCCCCTTGCCACTGCCATGGTGACAAAACCGTGACAAGAGCATCTGGTTGGCTTGGGCAGAAAGACGTTGAAGATTAGCACCCACACGACACCACCACAACCAACCTGCTGGCGTACAGAGTGCATACACGGGGCTGGTCGCTAGAAATGGGAAAACCAGCGAGTGGCACCCAGATAACTACCTATCTACCAAATCTGTTTATCGAAAGGGGACAAGAGATAACAGCACGGGTTCGGATGGTCAACCACCAATTCGGATTCGGGTTATATATCCGCATGACCACTTCCAGAGGGTAGGTAACAAGACGCCTACGGCTAGATGCGGATTTTCGATACGACGTCACTTTGAAGAAAGCCGCTGTGCAAAAGAAGGGAGAAGGCGTCCCCGCAGTTAAGAGAGGGTAACGGTTCTTGTTCTTCAGCTGCCAACCTGGAAAAAGAACAATGGATTTGTTGAAGACGGGAAGAAGGCAGGTACACCCAATGGGATGTGGTTCCTGAACTGCGAGATTGCATCACCGGACATGCCACTTCCACACCACGAAGACGGGAAAAGCAATAAAAATCAAGGTGTTGATCGATGCTGCAGGCGGTATTGTTCATTGGATGGGAGGGGGGGACGGGAAGCGAATGCGCTAAGGTGATAGGTTTATGCTGTCAGGGGTGCAGGAGCAGCTACCGCTGTTGTTGCTTCCTTGTGGTTGAGCAAGTGGTGTCTTGGGAAGGGACTAAAAGTGCAAGAACTCTCGGCGGGAGAAGGAGCGAAAGCATCACGCGGATGGGAATAGGAGGCAGGAGTAAAAAGAGAAGGAAAAAACGAACGAGTGACTGACTGCGGGGTTGGCTGCTGAAGAGCAGAGGGGAGGAGGGAACCAAGTGCAACGTTTGTCCATATGATGTCTCGATAGGTATGTGTGTGTGTGCACTTACAGATAACCGCTGCAAGCAGAGTTACATTCTCGACTCACTAGTATCCTGTCAAGGCTGTCATAAGTGGAAAACACGTCCGATCGACATGCCTTTTTACTGAGGAGGGCTGAACATGGTGATGATTTTGCTGCCCACTTCCCGGAATATCTTTTTGTGGGGAAGGCACATTACCACGTCGTGGAACCAATAATGCATCGACAACCTTTTAGCTATATTTTGGAGATACCTGAACTTGTTGGACCGGGAATAGCTGAACAGGGGGGGAGGGGGAGGTTACACTCAACTTGGCCTTTTGTTAGCTCCAAGCAGCGTGTGCAAGTGGCCACTGAGACAGGTTGTATGAGCTACCTTACCTATGGTTACTGTCATGGAACTTTGTGGACCAATCTCGTTGGGGAAGCGGCCGGGTAAGGTAGGTGGTGGTCGAGATTGGGGAATCATGGGAGATCGGTTGGATTAAAAGGTGGACGGCTTCCCCCCAACCACACGATCGCAGGACACCACCTCTTCCCTTCCTCCTCTCTTTCTGTCTTTCTCCAAGTCGGTCGTTTGCTCGATCGGTCTGGTCAAGTCAGTCAGTTGCAATGTCGCCAACCAGAGGACAGACTGTTGTGTCCACGTTTGCCAGCATTTTCCTGTTCGCTCTTCTTGCCTTCACGCAGCTAGTTACCGCCCTCCCCAGCAGCAGTCATGGCTCCCACAAACGAGCAGTCGGCGACAAGTATCTTATTGGTGTGGGCAAAGCAGATATCACCGGTCCGGTGGTAGAGATCAACTTTGCTGGTTACGCCGACACAGCTCAAACTGGTACTGGTCTCCGCCAACGATTATACGCTCGCGCGTTCATCATCGGGGAGGTGTCCAACCCCGCCAACCGGTTTGTTTACCTTGTTCTGGATACCATGTCTGGCGATACCGCCGTCCGCCGTGGGATTTTGGAGGGCATCGCTGCCCAAGGGACGGGGTACAGCATGTACAAAGCCGGCAATGTGGCTGTTACCGGCACACATTCACATTCTGGTCCCGGAGCCTGGTTCAACTACTTGCTCCCCCAAATCACGAGCTTAGGTTTCGACAAGCAGAGTTACAAGGCTATCGTCGACGGCGCCGTTTTGGCTGTCAAGCGGGCGCACGAGGGCCTTCAGGAGGGTTACCTCGACTTTGGCACCACCAGAATCGAAGACGCAAACATCAACCGGAGTTTGTACTCGTACTTGGCCAACCCTGCCGCGGAACGGGCTCAGTATGGGGATGACAGTGTGGAAAAGATTATGACGTTGTTGAGGTTCCAGAGGGCGTCGGATGGGAAGAATATCGGGGTGTTGACTTGGTTTCCGGTCCATCCTACTTCAATGCAGGGGAATAATACCCATGTGACGGGGGATAACAAGGGGTTGGCGGCTTATTATTTTGAGAGGAGCGTGAGGGGTGACAGTGCGGTTGCCGAAGGGTTTGTGGCTGGGTTTTCGCAGGCAAATATGGGGGATTCGTCGCCGAATGTGTTGGGCGCTTGGTGTGATGATGGGTCCGGGCAGATGTGCGATTTTGAGACGAGTACGTGTGCGGATGGGAAGAGCCAGGCTTGTCGGGCGAGGGGACCGGCGTTTGAGAAGTTGGATTTGGGGGTGGCGAGCTGTGAGATTATTGCGCAGAGGCAGTTTGATGGGGCTAAGAGTCTCTATGTGAGTTTTCTTTTGGCGACGTCAGCAGGTTCTTGAACTGACAGCTCTAGACTTCTCTTGCTTCTTCATCGACTCCTGTCACAGGCGCCTCTGTCCGCTCGTTCCACTACTTCCAGGATATGCGCTACTACACCTTTCCCCTTGCCAACGGCACTCTCGTGCAAACCTGCCCTGCTGCGTTGGGACACTCCTTTGCTGCCGGCACATCTGACTGGCCCGGCGCATTTGACTTCACCCAGGGCGACTCCGGTGCGCCCAACAACCCGTTCTGGTCTGTTGTCGGTGGTTTGCTCAAGGCGCCTTCTCCCCAACAGAAGGCCTGCCAACAGCCCAAGCCTGTCCTCCTCAACGTAGGCGAGATGGACGTCCCCTATGCCTGGAGCCCCAACATTATGGATATTCAATCTTTCCGTGTGGGGCAGTTCATCATCGTTGTCTCCCCTGTCGAAGTCACCACCATGGCTGGCAGAAGGTGGAAGGCTGCTGTGAAGAACGCGGCTGCTTCTGAGCTGTCCTTGGGAACCGAACCCTACGTCGTATTGGGAGGTCCAGCAAACACTTACTCCCACTACTTGACAACCCCAGAGGAGTACCAGATCCAGCGATACGAAGGAGCTTCGACTCTCTTTGGTCAGTGGGCGCTCCCCGCATTTGTCAACCTCACCCTCCGCGGCCTGCCGTATCTCTCGTCGTCTTCCAGCTCCCAGCCGACTTTCGGCTCTCCAGCACCCCCAGACAACCGCGAAAACTCGCTCAGCTTCATCACTGGCGTCGCGTTTGACGCCGAGCCCATCGGGAAGAAGTTCGGGGCCGTCCTCACTCAGCCTGCTGCGTCGTACACCCGCGGTCAGGCGGTGAGTGTTCGATTCCAGGGTGCGAACCCGAGGAATAACTTGAGACTTGAGGGGACGTATGCCGCGGTCGAGAAGCAGGTCAATGGGCAGTGGACGAGGGTGCTGAGTGATGAGGATTGGAAGCTGGTGTATACTTGGAAGAGGACGAACTGGGCTTTGGGCCACAGCGAGGTGACGATTACCTGGGAGACGAGCGCGACGGAGGACAGTGCGGGAACGTATAGGGTGAGGTATCATGGTGATTCGAAGCCGTTGATTGGGAGTATTAAGGCTTTTGAGGGGGTGTCGAATAGTTTTACGCTGAGTTGAGGGGGATAAAGAGGGGTTGATGGGTAGATGAGATGATGACTGGAATGAACAAGACAATAAATAGCCGTTAAACAGAACACTCGCTGCGACTTTGTGGTGTGAAGGATGTGGAGGAGGGTAAGGAGGGTAATGAGGGTATATGGAGCTTTAGGAAATAGCAGTGTGCGACCTACAATCGTCAAAGATGAACTATAAAGGAAGTTGAATCGACGATTAACTCGGTAACCTAGGTACTTAGTAGACTACGGTACTTTAGGATAAGTCTCAACTGGTGAGATGATGGGGACTTGGCCGCTGAAGCAACCGACAACATTAGTTCAAAAAATTATTAGCTATCTTGTCGAGATATTTGATCAATCGCTAAAGTAATCCACAGCTTTATCGCCAAAAGGACCCAGGACCGGATCGACGACATCCTCCGCAATTTAACTAGCCATTGTAAAACACTTCGATCGAACAAAATAAGTAAGTGTAGTGTTGATGAAGGAATAAAATGCGACCTAGGTGTCTAGCTGGCAGTGTTAAAGTAGCCGATGGTTCTTTATTAAGCTGATAAGTCCAGCAAGCCCTGAATAATAGGCTGGTTAATGGAGAGGATAAGAAAGCGGTAAGGGCTGCTTGGAATAACTACCTCAACCGACTGAATGAGTTGACAGGCAGCTCAATCGATAGACATCTCAATCAATAGACATCTCAATCAATGGACAGCTCAATCGACAGACAGCTTAATCGACAGACAGCTCAACCGACAGACAGCTCAACCGACAGACAGCTCAACCGACAGACAGCTCAATCGACAGCAGATCACTTGGCAGACAGCTTAATCGGCAGACCGCTTAATCGATAGCAGCTCAATCGATAGACTACCTTAGGCATCCAATCCAATTGATTGAAGCTAATCGATAGACAGCACAGCCAACAGGCAGCCTAACAACCGCAGGCTTACTTGACTAGTAATTACAACTCAACAAAGAGCTCAATCGACAGCCTGATCGTCAATCTCCATGTTATCTCTATTAGAAGTTCATTCGATAACTTAATCGAGTGATTTATCGATAAGTTTAACGACAATCACCTCTCGACCTTGATTCCAGCTCTATAGGTAGACAGCTCAGTCGACAGTCTAGCCGAATATGCCTCTTAACTATCGAAGGACCTACCCTAAGTCTGCCTAGCAAACCGAATCGAATTTATTCGGATTAGAGTACCCCAGGTTAACCAATTCCAGAGCAAGAGAGCTAACCACAAGAGCAAAACAGACCTATGAAAGACCAATCGCAGCTTGTTGCCTGCCTGACATCATCCCCATTCGCGCCTACACTCCAGTCCTGCCGCACAAACAAATCTTTCTTTCTTCTTACCTGCCTTACCTACCTAACCTACCTACCTATTCTCACCACTGTGTAAACCCCAATAAGGTAAAACAGCAGTGGCCAAAATCTCATCCGTTCTTGTTCGTGCCGCCAACTGGGAATGGCGTGGTAATCGATCATCTCCTGTTACCTTACGAAAGCGCTACCGACTCTTTGTCAGTGTGCTAGAATATGATTACTAACCGCACATCGTCGATTGTCGGTCGTTGGTAGGTAGCTGACAGTCGCTTTCTTGTAGTCGAGAGGCTGTAGCTGCTTGAGCAGATGATGGTGTGATCATACAGTCAGTCTTGTCACATTTATGCGATCGACAACAGTCAAGTAAGTTGGGTAGGTTGGAGAGGAGATCAGGCAACGGAGGTTTTTGTAGATCGGCAGAGGTATGCGATCGACCTGGTTGCTTTGCTGGACAGGCTTGGTAGGATAGATAGGATGAGTCTGATGGGTCTCTTGGAGGGAGGGAGGTGAAACGGGCCGATGAGTGTGGCGTGAGTGGGAAGTTTTGTCGCTCAGGTGCTTAGGAGAAGATTCCTTCGGCTTAGCTGTCGAGGTGATGTCTTTGAATGAGATGCGGGCGAGGAGATGTCGAGGGAGAGGTATCGGTTCTTCTCTCTTTTCGTTGCGGTAAAGGAGTGTGAAGGAGCGATAGATGGCATCGGATGATCAACTGTGTGTAGCTGTGTTGGTGAGAGACGAGGAGACCTGTAGGTGGAAAGATCGATCGCTCGCTTTCTGTTTGCAAGTGCGAGCTGTAGGTGGGACAGAACAGTCGGTGTGAGGCGAGGAAAATGGCCTTCGATGGCCCGCATTTGCGTTGTGGCATCTCGGATCTTTCTGCGACTGTACAGGATTAAAGAGCCCGCCAGAATGAGAAGAAAGGGCTGTCAGTTTCGAGGAGGTGGAAGCCGGCCCGTCAAGATTAGCTGGGGTAACTTGAAGATGTTCTCAAAGACGTGAGTGGTGCGGCTATGGTAACCATTACGTTTCAGCAGTGGAGGTGCTGAAAACAACACGAAAAGAAGGAGAAAGCAAGACCAAGGGAATACGAGAGAGAAAGCGGGGACAGCCCCCGAAGGAGGTGAGGTAAGCGGAAGTCTCGGCATGGGAAAAGGGGCAAAAGGGGGTAAACCAAGGGTTGGGGTTATAGCCTACAAGTGTAAACAAAACATTTGACGTCAGCCTCCCCAAGCACACCCTTATCAAACTACCACAATAGGTCTACCCCTATCAGTTTTGCTCCTTTTTATCAACTTCAATATCCAGACACTTGTAGCTGAAACGGCACTGTCCTGCGTGAACAGCTCCCCTATCAACCTTGCCTTTCACCCCCCTGCTCGCCAGTGCAGTGCGATTGACGTACGTACTTCCCCCCTATGATCAGTCATCAGACCATTATGCCTAACGTACCTAGCCGTCACCGTCACCCCATCACCCGGCAAACAGCGAGAACTGCTACAGTAATTCCCTCAATTTTCTGCCAGCAGATACAGCTTGTGCTTATCCATTCAAGTGCCGACCCGTGTTTGCCATCTCTTCTGCGCTGGCCTAACAGTTTCCTTGATCATCGAAGCTGGTATCGACTTCAATGATCGCCAAGCCTGATTTTGGTTATTTCTCATGTTTCTCACGTCATGTGTTTTCCACTCGATGGTAAGTAGTATCGGCTGCTCCCGCTTCTGGACACCGAAAGATGTAAGGGAGAAGGGTGGAATAATAACCACAGAAAACGTGTGTCGGGGACCCTGGGAAGTGACTTGTCCGGCTTAGTTCTGCGTGATGTGTTTTTTCTCTTGGGGAAAAGAGGAATTACGTCTTGCATAATCTGAGATCAGAAAAAGAAAGTCAAAAGGGAGTTGTAAACGGTTTTACTGAGCTTGGCTTTTTGCTTGGGATGTGAGTGGTCGCAAGTGGGGATGTCGAGGGTGCGATCATGACTGAGCTGGGGTGGATACATGATCAGGGGAGTTGGTCAGGGGAGCGAGACTGAGAGTGGACGGTTTCGTCCGCCGATGGCGTCGGAGAGGGGCTTTCGGTAGTTGATTGTTCTTGCTTCTTTTTACCAGCATTTTTGAGCCATTGTCCAGGCCACATGACGGGATATCCAAAAGCTACACCTTTAGGAGGGTAAGGTCTGGTTGTCAGCGACAGAGATCTACTGGCATATTTCATTCTGGCAGCATTGTTCCGGGACAAGGTTCTATCACTGGCGATAATGCCAGTAACGACAGCTCGATTTTGCCTTGTTGTACATGTATCCCGAATAGCAATGACCCCTCCCATCATATCAGTGAGAATACAAAGGCCTATCATCCATATTCCGCCCATCCAGCTGTCTGTCTCTGCCATTGAACGTATTCCCATTCCAATGCTAAAAAAGTCCCCTGACCATTTCCAAAATCGGCCATGTACGGCTTCCATATTCTAGGAGTCGTATCAATCCATTCAAGCCGTAACGCCTTCCCATGTTTGTGTGTCTGGTTTGTTTGTACCCTTAACGTCTTTGCTCCCAAGGAAAAACACCAGTAATGTGTATATGCCGAATAAAAATGTAGTAAATAAGAACCAGATGCCCCTCCCTACTTGCAGTAAAAACCCTGCAAATCGATAGAAGCTGGAGAGAAAGGGTCGTGTGTAGACCCTGTCAATGGGGTATCATAATGCCTAAAAGCACCTTGTTTTAACAGAGAAGAAAAGCAAAGACAAAAATTAGATTGTCGCTCGATGCATCCGGAACGCCGATCCCTGCTGTGTGACACAATTTGAATAAGAAAACAATGATCCTGAGCGAATCTCGATGATGTGGCTGCTGGTGAATGTCTCATCGTGGCATCGCTCTATTTCGAAAGCTCGATTCATCCGTCCATCTCGCACTGAAACCCGACCGAGATGTTGAACTGGTGGCTGTTGAACTGTAGCGGAATCATGGTCAGGTAGTTGGTGAATTTTTGACCATCTTTCTTGAAGTTGGTGACTGGGATCTGCAGCTCAGAGTTCCGCTCGACCGATTTCCGCATCTTCTTGATTGTCTTTTCGTCGACATATTTTCGTGCCGATTTGGGCTTGACTTGCCCACCAGGGGCCTGCATGAACCGGCAGTTTCTCTCCAATACCTCTGGTCGGTTGTATCCTGTCAGTTCCAGGAAGGAGTCTGATGCGTAGATGATGGGCTGATCGGGTCGCAAGAGGTCGCAGACGATGATGGGGCACGACATGTCGACAGCTCCAATGTCCTCCTGGGGGTTTGGTCTTGAGTGGAGAGAGATCTGTTACACATTGTTAATGATCTGAGACCGAGCTAGGCAGATGGTCAGGGAATACGAACCAGCACCGACATGATGTCAAGACCGCTGTTGGAATACAACCCAGGAAAGATGACGGGATCGTAGATTTGCGTGTCCAACTGCCGGCCACCATAGTGCTAAAATAACCTGGTAAGCAGGGGCGGACAATCAGGATCTAGAATGCTGTCTACCTCGATAGCACGACCCTCCCACGAGTTGCCTTCCCATGTATTGACCTGGTTGCTCATGCTGGGCGTCACGGTGAATTTGAAAGCCAGTGGCACTGTGGTGTACGAGGCCGGTTCTGGAACGAGTAAAAGTCCCCTTCACTAACAAGACATCCAGGTAAAGGTGGGTGACTGGGTATATGTCCGAGGACTCGCTGTTCGTGTGCTGGATGAAGGCTTGACAAATGGGTTAGGGAACCCGCTGTGTAACCTGTGCCGTCACTTGTTCTTGTTGACTTGTAAGCAGGGCGCTGGGCTCCTGGTCTGGGTGATGATGATGCTGATTGTGGGGTGGCGAACAAAGGAGAAGGGGATGATGGATTGAGGAACGGAACATGAAGATATTTAATCAAGAGGTCAATACGGTGGTGCTCCGACACAAAAGCATGGCCCAGTGGTCTGGGTAAGGCGACCACAAAGTCTGCGTGGAATCGAGATCCACGGAGGTTTGGTGGCAGGGACGGGGGCCGTGTGAAATCGGACGGGATGACGGAAGGTTTGTGACAAGGCGGCCAAAGCTTCCCGAGCTTCAGATGAGCAGATGGACAAGGAAACAAAGAACCAAAACTATATCGCCAGGCACAGGCCCGGAGAACAACAGGCCATGGGCCAATTGCCGCGGGGGACGAGGGGAAAGAGGGACTGTCCCAGGGCCGACACCGTTGGATGAATCACGATCCCAAAACCCATACTGAGCTGACCGAGTCGTTGTGTTCCCCTACGTGGCCCAGGGTGGTATTTTGGCCCATATTGGAGGGGCCAGCAGGCCAAGGGAGCGAATTTGGTGCTTTCGATGCATGTCCCTGATCGCTGAACGCATCGGCAGCTGTTGTGATCGGAGTGATCTCAAAGGACGGTCTAACAGCCCCAGCCATGCGGGTGCTTGACGATCTGGACCCAATGGACCCTCCACCCTAGACCCCTGCCCTGAGGAGTGAACGCCGTGAGAGCGATGGGGACTAGGGGAGCTTGGAGCGGTTATCCATTACCGGTGTTTCCCACCAGGATTTCCCACCAGGGGAAGATAGGGAAAACAGAACAACAGCATCTGCACCTCAGGCCATGCTTTCTTCTTTCGTCGGCCCCCCGGAAGCGCGCGAAGCGACAACCAAGGAGCGGGAAATCGCACCTCTGCACGACTGACAGTGTCCTGCTGCGTGATGAGCAAAACAGGTCATTGGCAGGGGTGGAATGTGAGGGCGCTGCGGGAATGACGACGAGGGTTGCGCTGATGGGCTCGGCGATCGCTGCAGCAAAACGGTTCTCATCCTGATCTGGGGCCATCGAGCTTTAGCCTTGGATCGGCCCAAGGAATTGGTTCCACGCTTCGCCAAAGGCAACGCTCACAAACGGCGCCAGCGCTCCACCACCGCAAACCATCCGTATGGCCTATGGCTGCTGGATAGAAGTCCGGCATCGACCCACATTGTTCACCGCATATGGCACTTTCACTCTGTGCTGCTGAAAAGAGCTCTCGATTGACCCTGGGGGGGAGCTCGTGCCAACCCAGCCATAACTGACCATGGTATTGGCACTGAATACGAGCCTGAGCAATTCAGACAGGTCAGCCATCACAGATCTTCTTCTTCTCTAGCAGGACAGCATGGCGGAACAAGCCGCATGATAGACGGGGAATGTAGACCGCCACCCTCCACGAAGGCTTGGATTTTCTGCCTTGTTTCCTAGATATGAGATGCATAAAGGCAGGCGCCGTGCATCACAATGTCACATGGCCCAGCCCAGGAGTGAGAGGTGAGCGGGTGACAAGCTGACTTGACTACACTCGGCGCTGGCAGTTCTGTCTGATGGAATCGGCGATATCAACAACAAGAGGTTGGCCGCCCTTTTCGACAGCGCAGCTAGGGTATCACGACGCACGGGACATGGCCGTTACACATCTGGGCTCTATCAAACGACACGACCACAATAGAACTGGTCGGGCCGACGCTTCGATCAGGCGGGGACGGGTGGTGAGCGCACAAAGAGATGACAGTAAATTGTCAGTGTGCCGTCGGTCGCGCGACAGGCGAGCGGATCGCAATTCTCGATAGATGAAGCGACGGGGGAAACGGCGGGAACGGAAGCGAAAGAAATCGAAGAATCGACCAACCTTCGCCGCGCCCTTGCTTTTTGGTGATGGCGGCGGCGTTGTGGGATGAGTGTCTCGGGCCTCATATGGGCAGGCTGAGACAGGTGCCGGAAGAGGCAGCCTTCACGTCTTTCATCAGTACCTTGCCTTATTCCGTACACCTGGTTCGTGGTACAGTTCAGGATGGTGAAGCAGCGCGATGTCGTCAGAAGCAGCTCCGAGGTCTCGGCTTTCCATCGACATGAGGCTGAAGATGACATGGGATTCTGGTAGTTGCTTTCACTTCGGCCAATTGAGGTTGACAGCGGTGCAACTCAACCAACGGGGAGGGCCCAGGCTCTCGGTCAGTTCCGACAGCCGACCATCCCTGCCAATGAACTGCCCGATGGAGGGGATTTAAGCCACATCTGGTAAGGTGGCTTGCGGGGCCCATCCCTCTTGGCAGCGAAACCTTATCTGGGCCAAGAAATCACTTTGGCAGGGGCCGGGCAGACGCGTCTGAGAGTATCGTTGCACACGCGTTTTCAGCTTCCCAGTTCCTCAATCAATAAATCGACGAACGAAAAAGCACCGATTTTTCCAGAAGCCGTCAAATATCTGATTTGTCCCGATCTCCAGTCCTCGGCGAACCCCCCGTCTATCTTGTTTCTTGAACCGATAAACGCAGTCAGCCGCGCTCGGGTTCTACCCGACAGAATAAGGCCAAACAATTTCGGGATACACGACAGTGATTGAACTCGAGTCCGTCGACTTACTTTACCACGATTCAGCGCTCTAGGAAACCATAACCCGGTGATCTTGTCTATCGGATCCCACAACTTCCAAGGTCACCATGCCACGTCTACTGCAACGCTCGCGGCCCTCTGAGCCAGCACCAGCTACGTCGGTCGGGTCCGACGACGTCTCCCTGCCCGAGTATGAGCCACCGGCGTTTCCGATGAACGATGAAAACAAAGCGAAATTGGAAAGGCTGGTCGCAGCTCAGCGAAATGACAGCGATGCGAGGCAGTACGAAAAACACCTCAACGAATGTTCAAAGAACCTGATCAAGGCTGTCGGCAGTATCAACGATCTGCTCTTTCAACGGCGAAGGCAACTCGCTCGGCATGTGGAGAAGCGTCGATCAGAAGGTGTCGACGACAAGAGCGAGGCTGAAAGAGAGCTCGAAGAATATGTCGCTGAGTTGGAGGCAACCATCAGCACACTGACAGACAAATCCGAACAAGCCTTGCGGCGTGTAATAGACTGTCGTGCCGAATTCGAAGATACCAAAACAGTTCTTGAGTCCGTGGTAGTGACAGTCAAGGCTCAGCAGCCTCGACCTGAACCGAAACCTAAAAAAGAGAGACGGCAGCAACGGCGCCCTGCCAACGATGACGACGACGACGACGAGGACGAAGAGGTGGAGGAAGCTGAGGATGTGCCCCCAGTCGTTGGTGTCATCGATGCTCTAAGGACAGCTCGAAAGGTCAAGATGATAGAGTACTCCAGATTATCTGCTTACGATAAGTATGCTGTCCACAACGACTACATTCCTTTCAAGAGGACGTGGCATGATGCCATGCACCCGGACAACGAGATCCCGCTGCCGGATCCCTCCACTTGGTTTGACGAGGATGGCAACCCAGTCAAGAATGTCGTCGACATTCAGGAGGATGACGATCTTGTTGTCGAGCGTGAAATTGTTGACCTCAAGTGCCCCTTGTCATTGCAGGTCTTCAAAACGCCATTTAGCAATCACAAGTGCAAGCACACCTTTGAGAAAGATGCCATCATGTTTTTCATCCGATCTTCCGGTGGCAAGGCACAATGCCCTGTTCCGGGCTGCTCAAAGGTACGGGTCCATGTCCACGTTATGTGTCGAGTTTCCTACCCATACTAATTTTTGCTCTTTAGGACTTGATAATCACCGACTTGTATCCAGACGAAGTCATGCTTCGGAAAATGAAGCGAGTGGCAGAGGCTTCGAGACGTAATGCCGACGCAACCTCAGATGTTGAAGAGGAGGAGGAAGAAGATGACGACCCCGATGCGAGCATAGTCATTGGACGCACAAACAACATTAAGAGGGAGAGGAACAACCGCCGTGTGGAAGACATCGAAGAGGACTAAGAACGACGATTGAATCTATGACTATCACTCTACTATGGAAATAATCACACCAGCCCCGATTTGCTCCAGAAACAGCTCAACGCCCCCACAAACGTCAAAGAATGAAACAAGTTTTGTCCCCTGGACTCCGAGTAGCTCACAACTTGCTGTCGCTTCTGTCGAATTATTCTGCGCGTCCTGTTTCCGCGGATCACCTGCCCCGAGACGCCTGGCTGCGAAACCACCAGTTTAATAATACAAAAGGTTTTGACACCGAAATCAGAGACATGACTTATACAAAGGAAGTTGGAGGTGCTGTGGGAAAACATGTAGAAACCGGAAGCGATCAGGGTTCAGTGCCTGGAGTAGTCGAATGAGTACCCATAGGTCATGTGGGCGGCAGACGGCTCCTGGTAGCTCTGGGGATTTGGCGAGGTTTGGGCCGAGACTAGAGCATTCCCGGCTCGGTGATGATAGGTGGACATCTGGTCAGATGGGTAACCAATGGCCTGGTGATGCGCATATGTATTGTATGAGATGGGTGACAGGTGGGTATTTGCCTCGGCACTCGGATGGATGGGTATCATGCTGTATTGGCTGTACTGGACTGTGGGTTCTGGCTTGATGAAAGGGCTAACGGGATGAGATTAGCTATCCAAATATGGGCAAAATGGCCGGGAATTTCTGGAGCATGGAGCTTTCAGTAACCAAAAGACTCACTCTCTGTACTCGTTCGACTGTGTCGTCGCGCTGGATCCTGGGTGGTACAGGTCGCCTGGGGTCATGGCTGGTGAGCTTGCTTGGTATCTGTTGTCTTCGAGTTCTGGGCTTTGATTAGGCGAAAGATATCGGGTGTCGTCTCCTTCCCCGTCCTCACCCATGGAATTCCCACGCCTGCGACGAGAATACTTCTGGATGCCCCATTTGTCGAACCGCGATCGATAGGCCCGGGTACTGTTAAGAATGGTCAGAATATCATATTCATCTAATGTATGTGACGCCATGAACACAAGATCAGATGATGATCCGTAGGGACGGACAATCACCACATCTCAAAGGACCGAGGGAGGGCAACATACGACGCCTTGAACCGGTACTGCTGCTCCATGAGCTTCTTGACCTCATGGAGTGGCTTCCTGTTGTCCCGATACTCCGCTATGATGATCTCACGGTACTGTTCCCACGGCTTCGTCATGATGGGCAGCAAGTGGCGAGTCTGATTGAAAATGGGATGGTTGCTGATTTGACACGATTGTCTTTCGGACTTCTAGGTTTGAACAAACCACACGGACGAGGCTGTCGAAAGAATGATGTGTTGTTTCTCTTGGATGAGAAGACGACGATCTTGAACTGGTTGTCTTCTTCATCGTCCACTTGGTCAATGGCGGCCATACACGAAGTGATATAGACGGACCAGCGGCTGTCTTTCTGCAGATCAAAGACGATTGACGTGGTCCGTCTATCTCCAGGCCGATACATCAACCTGGGCTGAGCAGGAAGTCATGCAGCTGCGTTGGGGGTTCTCATACAGGTCAAGGCAGCCAATAGCGGAAGACAGGAGAGCCTCGCAGTGGCCACTTGGCGGCACTGTCGAGGAATCAAATGCTCGCGGGGCTCAGATAAACAAGGCTGTGGTGGTGTGTAAAACGCCGGTAGGACGGCGGCGACATCCAGCAAAATCCAGAAAAGGCACATCGGCTTTGATGCTGTTAGTTGACCTCCACCAAGTTCCATCATTTCCCAATGTCATTGACAATGATGAGGCTCAGGCAGAGAGCCTCTCAAAAAACACTTGCAAAGGGCATATCGAGGCATTTCGGGGTGGCTGCGAGCAATTTTGCTAGCTTGTCTACCAAGACCAGTCTTGGTCAGGGAGATGACGCCAGACCTGGGGAAGGAGGGTCGGAAAGGTGCCAAACGCGGGCCGTGAGGGCCAGCGGCAGACGGAAGCCAAAAGACTTGACAAGGCTTTATGAGCCTCCCCCTCACAGGCGAATGCCCATCTGAGATTTGGCTCGATTTGAGTGTTTCGTCCCGTCACAGCTTGAGTGGCATGCTCCCGCAGTGACAACAACACCCCCCTTTTCGATCTAGCGGCGAATCAGCTTCAGGGCCTCGGAGTCCCGGTGTACACGTCCACAGCCAGCCTCAATTGGGGGAACCCCTCATATACTGGATTGGCTGCTAGATATTGATACGTGACACCGGTACCAGTATTTACTACTACCATTTTCGCCTCAATTCAACGAATCGATGAGAACGGTCATGCTCCCTCGGGACTCACATGCGGGAACCCGCGATACAACTCATTCTTCGGTGAGCTGCAAGTCTTCGCAAGAAGTTTCGGACCGGTGAATTGGGACGTCGTCAAAAGGGGCGCGTATGCCGTTGTACCTGATTGATACCCAACCCATAAAAGACTTGTTCCCTTAAATGCAGGGCACATACATGACAACGCACAGGGAAACCGTAGTCATCGTCACTGGGAGTTAGAAAGCTTAGCTAAAGCAACGACATCAACCCACCTTGAATAGGTCTCTTCACCTCAGAGTCACACGAACACACACACCACTTCCTGTTCCGTCAAGGTCGCCAGCAGGATCTACAGGAGCAAGCCGATCCCCGCGGCTTTTCGTACCTTGAACTTTCAGAGTATCGGCCGTCACTGGCCAGCTGTTGAATACACCCGAAACTGTCATCTAGGCTCGATGCAGTCAAATGAGATGTGGCTTTGAATCTTCAGACAACGTCATGATGCCTTCTTCGCTTTCCGCACCTAACGACGAACCTGCATTCCAAGTAGACCAAAAGTTAACCTTGGCGGGCGTAGTTTCGGCAGAACCAACCAACTACCGAACAACCTCGCCCTTCTTCTTTCTTCAACTCACCACCATATTTTCGCCTTTTGCCGTCATTTTCACGCTCTCATCCCCTCTTACAGCCACATCCAGACAACAGGCAACGCATCTTGGGTCGTATCACCTTCCAGAAAGAGGCAGTCAAAAAGCCTCCCTATCACGATTGCTTTGCAGCGGCCTGAAACGCATTCTCTCTCGACTAAGCTGTGCCCTGGACGTGCGGGAATAGCTGCACTTTTCTCGTACGACGACTGCCTGAGATGCCCAGCTATGGATAGATTCCAGAAGTCATTTCATGAGCTGAGAGAGGCCGGACCCCACGAATTGGGTATCCCGGCGCAATTCGCGCTGCTATTTGTTTCGAATATCCCGACGCCCCCAACGCCGAGAGTTTAAGCATATCTGTTGCGCCGCTGATCCGCACGCTGCCTTACGGGAAGAGGACGAGACCGCACGAGGTGGGATGGACGCCGCGGGGAAGTCGGCCCTGCAGGAGTCCTTGGGCCTGCCGCTTGGTGTTGAGCTGGCTGCCTTCTCCGAATGCCTTCTCTTGGTGGTTCTTGCCCTGCGCTGCCTCTTTAGGTAGGTATCCAGCTATCGGGTGCACCTTTCTTGCCAGTTCATGATTCTGAGGCTTGCAAGAGGATGGAATGACATTCTTGCCAAGATCTCACTAAATGAAGGACAGTACACCGATTTAGAAGAAGACAGGAGGAGACACCAATCAATCTCACACATGATCAAACGACGAAAAGAAGGCGGTTTCCAAGACTGACTCGGCTCAGGGCAACCGGCCAGATCAAGATCTTGTTTCTAGAACGGCAGTCAAAATGCACAATCGCCCAGGCCCGATGCCTGCCGCGGTTGCCCTGCCGTATCTCATGCTAGGTTTAGGGGGCTCCTTTTCTCAAGTAAACAGAGCATCTACCATTTGCCAGATCGTAAATCTTGGACACTCACATCAGATCTCACCGAATGTCTCTTTCCGGACTTTTTTTTGATGGCAAACCATGAGCCTTCTTCAACTCCCTTCTCGACAAGAGCCTCCTCACCACAACCGCCAAAAGCGCTTAATTTCCACCAAGACTCTCATCTCCTCTCGGATACTGACCGCTCCTTTTCCTTCATGACGAGTACAATCTCTCGCAGTTTTGAGCCTCCATTCACTAACCCAAAAGCAACACCGAACGGCCAAGATTGAGGTTTGTCAACGAGCAAATGATAGCATCATCCGCTCGCCGTTTCATTAACACTAGGCCTGCTCACGGGCGGCCACCCACCCCGCAAACAGACATTCCGGTCTCTAAGTCAGCACAGATTAGGTAGTCCTTTTTTGGGCCTGTCTTTTTACTGCCATCTACTTGAAATCAGCGGTGAGAAACAGGGTGTGGCCGCCTATGTAGGTCGCACACCCACACTCATATCACGAGACTTGCAAGGCCACCAATGAGAAGGACTTACGTATAATGTCAGGCTGAGAGAAAAGAGATTTGTTACCTCCGTCATTGATCGACAATCTACAGGCTGTTGAACACACGTTCGCACCGGACATTAGGTGTTAACCTGTAACTCGCTTGCCTGATGATGAAAGTAGGCGAGCTTATGCAAACACTCAGCCATGATTCCAGCGTCGAACCTGCATCTGGATGGCATACCGAACTACCCTACTCACCAGGCTGAGAAGGGGGATTTCCCAAGCTATGTGACCGACAGCTGGATGGGACATCGAACACGTCGTACAACAACCGCTGGCTCGTCAGCTCATAGGTTAGGCAAGCGAGGTAAGGTGGGTTTATGCAAACATGTAGCTCAGCCATGATAGCCATGCATCACGACGGGTGAATACCCTCAACGGGGAGGCGGTCACTTACTTATTTCAGGTCATTGACCAATGAAACATACAGTCCCGTAGCTAATAGGGACGAATAAGAGATCAGATATTTTCGATCATAACCCCAAAAGGTGAAATGACTGGAGCAAAGAGGAAACACAGCCATGATTGACGATACGTACGTGTCTGACACAGCAGTCAAAAGGGGGGCCAGAACAGTAGCACAGTAGTCCGACAGGCTACATCAGGCCCTCCCAGGATCTGAGTTTCACGGAGATGTATCTCCACAAACTGACAATTTTTTACTATGGAGGGAAAAGCAGGGCATAGGGCTGGCATAGCCATTGTCTATATGCAGGAGGACATGTACGTAAGCAGGCAGAAGTTACACAAGCTCACTCTAGACTATCAAATCATTCCTCATACAACTCCAGGTCGACCACACACATCCCATCTTGAGAAGATGTAAGAGACTAACCTTGGTGAACAGTTTGCCCTATGCAAGTCTCTCTTACATATGCAAACACAGCCCTCCTTCTTGCTTCCAATACCAGCCTAAGGCAGACGTAGATCCTCATCATAAGATATCACCAATCGAACGAGATACCTAACCAGGAAGATCTGCCGGGCAAAGACCACATACCCTCTTACCTCTCAGACTACCTACGGCACCGGCCACGTATCAAGCCCAGTCATATTATCCTATAGCACAGCCATGAAGCCCCCTGCGGGCAAACCTGAGGTACCTACGCCCCAGCACTCATCTCCACGCATCATCAACGACAAAAGACTTCATCTTCAACAAGACACCTACCTGAGGCTGACCAAAGATTTCACGCCTCTTCATGATCAGCCACACACTCGTACAAAGCCTAGACAGCTACCTACCTAGAAGCACAGCCACAGGAAAGAAACCTCGTATGAACATTAGCTCATCTCCGCCAGACCAGAAGGGGGAGGTAAACATCTCAAGCGAGATGATCAGGCCCCTCGTCTATCAGCCTGTAAGGCTTCATACGCCTAGGTGATTCAAGCCACCACAATTATCACGAAGAGATCCACTTTATACAGCACATTCGGAATCTTCTCTTCCAACCAAGCCCCAAGAAGGGCGGCAAAAAACACCTACCCACCCCATCATCATCCAATCCACCTCCGGACTCATATCAACAGCACAGCCATAGGTAAGGTGTTCCCCTCCGAAACAGCAAGACAAGGCAAACAGCGTTCATTAACCTCAACCATATTCTTCCCACCAAGCAGCCCCAGACAACAAGAAACTCGACTTCAACTCTCAACAAATTATCATCTCTCAGAGTTCTGAACAAAAGAGCCCAACATTGATCTCGAGAAATAACAAGATAGGGTAGAGGTTGGATGCTCATCATCAAAGTCATACTCAATATTCTGGCCATTGAACCAAACATACATAATCATCAGAAACAAAAGCCAGAATCAAATTTTTGTTTACCTAGAATGTGGAAAGCGAATCGCAAGTTAACTGATTGAACACGAGACAAAAAGACAAGAAACCTAGCACATAACCTCATACCAAACTACTGATATTGCGGCCCAGTTCACACGCTGACAGGAAACGAGGACAAGCGTAAATCCAGAGAGGCCATTCTCTTTACGGATCCTCATCATCATGTAGGAACTGACTATGTTGAGATTTTCTGATCCCTATGTAGCTAAATATACCAGAACAGATGGAAAGTTTGGAGATATCAGCACACAAAATTGAATGTGGAAACGACATAAGCAGAAGAGTATGGATTCCTAAATGATATACACAACCTCATCCACCCTATCATACCAGCCAACCCCACTTTTCTTCTTTAAACATACAAAAACAATATTCATGACATAGCTAAAAATATTTATACGACACATCAACCCCCTCCGGAATAGCATCAGGCAAACCATCCGCCCAAGTGCCGTAATTTTTCAACATGATAAAAAAAAAAGGCAAACACCTCAAGATATTATCGAGCGAATATTCCCCATTTTCGCCTTCTTCAACCTTCCTTAATAGCCCCCTTCGCCCCCACGCCCCCAGTTCAGCAACTTTTCGTAACTACCGTTTGCCTCCCAAATCATTAGTGACCATCAAAGAAAACAATTTACTGCTCCCTAGGCGCAGATCTGCTGGCAATACCTTCCTTAACGGCAGCCAGAATCAAATCCTTGGCCTTCTCAACACCCTCCTTGCTGCCAACAACCTCGATGGCCTCACCCTTAGCTTGGTCACGGGGAACGGTGATCTTGCAACCGCTCTGCTTGCGGATGGAGTTGACCTTGCTGCCGCCCTGACCAATAACGAAGCGGTACGTGCGGGGATCAGGCAGGATTAAGTAGCCTGTGGCATCCTGCTTCTTGGCCTGTTCCAGCGCAGCCTCGATGGCCTTCTTGGCCTTCTCGATGCTTTCAGGGGAGCCGCGAAGGACCCATGGAATCTCACCCTCCTCGGACGACGATCCGCTTTCGACAACCTTCCAGGAGTGAGCATCGGCAGTGGTTTCCTCGTCGTCAGTGATCAAAGGAAGGGCACCGTTGGAGCGGGCATCTGGAGCCGCAGGTCTGGGTGGGACGGCCTGGCCAGCATGGTCGACAGTAACACCGAAATCGTTTCTGAACTTGCGGAAGATTTGACCATTGTTTGAGACGGCGTGGTGGAGAGCACGAGGAACCTGCACAGTCTCGCCCTGCTGCTCCTTGACCAGAGACTCGATGTGAGCCTTGGCCTTCTCAACATCGGGAGCCTGGCCGGCAATCTTGACACCAGTCTGACCGCTTCCCTGGCGAGGAATATCAATCGAGACCTTGAATTGGTTCTCAAGACCGCGCTTGATGTCACCGCCGCGGCCAATCAAAGATCTGTGCTTCTCAACAGGCACCTCGAGAACCTCGGTAACCTGGCTCTCGCGCTCCGACACAATAGCCTGGATCTGCGCAATGATCTTGTCGACAACCTCGGTGCGGCCCTCGACCTTGATAGTGTTTCCGTCAGTATCCTGCTTGGGGAATTGAATGGCGCGGGCAAGCTCGCGGCGGTCATCGGAACCGCCAGCCTTGACGACGATGTCCCGCAGATTGGCACCTGTAACCGTCAGTAAACATTTTTCAAAGGGCATACTCATGTATCAATACTTACCGCCAGTCCCGATAAGAGCTTTGTGGTACTTGCGATCAACATCGATGGTCTTGACTACAGTGTCATCAAACACGGCCTTCTTCTCCTGAAGAGCCTTCTTGGCAGCAGCAACCTGGGCCTTGGTACCCTTGATCTGGATCTCAACCTCAGCGTCAGCATCTTCCTTGGCGCTGGGGATGTCAATCCTGGCACCACTGGACTGGCGAAGCTGCTCCAACACAGCTCCTCCAGATCCAATCAAGGAAGGAAGCTGCTTCTGCTGGAAAGTGATAGAGTCGGTGAAGGAGGTATCCTTGAGATACTGCAACAGCGAGAGAATCTCATCACGGGCCTCATCAGCTCCGCGCTTGGGACCTCTAACGATGACCTCATCAGGGGCCTGTTGACGACGGTGCTTCCCGGCATCGCTCGAATCCGCAACGGATTCGTCGTCCTTGGCAGGCTTAGCAGTGCGAGGGAAGTTAATGATGACCTTGTAGCGGGTCTGGAGACGGTTGATCTGGGCGCCCTGGGCGCCGATAAGCTCGCGGTGGAACTTGGGCTCGATCTTCAAAACGTGAGTAGCCTCGTCCTGGAGCTGACGGCCGAGAGCAGAGATATGAGCTCTGGCGGCCTCGGCCTTGGCCTTGGGACCCTTGAGCTGAACCTTCCCGTCATTGACCTGGATATCAACGTCGAACTTGTCGCGGAGTTCCCGAATGTTGCTTCCACCCTTGCCAATGAGGTGGTTGGCAAACTTCTGGGGGAATTCAAACTCCAAGATGAACCCGCGCTCCTTCTCGTCCTCCTTCTCCTGTTCAATGAAGGCCTGGCACTTAGCCACAAGCGACTCCACGGCAGAGCTAGGACCTCGGAAGTTGATGATCGACCCAGTGTTCGACACGCGCACAGGGATCTGGTTCTCGGGGCGATTCTCCTGCTCCTTCTTGATGAATCTGCGCAACTTCTCATGGAACTTGGTGGGAACTTCCATGGTAGCGGCAGTCAAGGGATCCTGCTTGGCGATCAAGCCAGTGATATAGGCTTGGGCCTCGCTGAGCCACTTTTGCATTTCGAGCAGATCGGCCTGGCTGGGCTGAGCGCGAGGAATCTCGTAGGAATCAGGGCTTGTGCGGCCCTCGTAGACAAGAAGAAGAGGGGAGTCGGCCTCAGAGCCTTGGGGGATCACAAGGTGGACACCATAATCTTGTCTAACCTTGGGTCTAGCCTCCTTCTGCAGGTAGGCGTGGAAGAAGGGGTCGACCGCAGCCGTCGCAATGCGGGCTGGAGGGTGGCCCTCGACGATGCCCTTGACTTCGTTGGAAGCCCGGATAGCATTCTTGCCATCACGAGCATAGAGCTCCCAAGGAAGAGCGCCGTTGGCATTGAAAGGAGTGTTGAAGTGCACATGGTGCAGCTTCTCCAGACGCTCAATCTCTTTTCTCTCGCGGAGATAGCGGGTGACGTTGCGGGCATGGGCAGCAGCAGAAGGAACCTGGCGGAAGTAACGAGTGATATCAAGGTTGGAGCTCTGCATGTTCATAGCGAGATCCATAGCCACGTCGGAGGCGGGAGTGATCTTGTCAGAAGGCCCGATAATGGTGACGGTCTCGTCCTCATCGTCGGCGGGCAAGACAACAATGCATCCGGTCTGGTCGAAGAACTGATCCTGAGGAATGCCCTTATCGCCAACAATGAACTGATGACGTCCCTTGTTGAGAGAGAACTGGTCGACGGCGAGTTGCTGGCGGAGCTCCTCGGCACGTCTTTCAATCTGCTCCTTGGCAGCCCTGACAGCATCGCGCTCACCAGTGAGCTGGATGAAGTTGTCAACAGCGGGATAGAAGACGGGAGGCTGTCCACCCTGAGGCGCCTCTGGCGGGTGAGGCACCCGGACGGGGTGCGAAGGCACCTGGACCTGAAGATCTTTACCCTGTTCCAGGCTGCTGATCAGGCCGTTCTTGGCAATGAAGGGAAAGAACTCGGCAGGGATGCCCTTGAGGCGTGTGTTGACGTTGGCAGCCCGTTCACCAGCAATCTTCAAAATGGCGTTACGGGCAGCAGCAGCCTGCTGGGAGTTGCCCTCGATCAAAACATCGATCGTGCTGTCATCGTCCTCATCCTCAGCGGCCGCAGGAGCATCCTCTACCCTAGGCATCTGGATCCGGGCGCCAGTCTTCTCCTGCAGGGCCTTGATGGTGGAACCGCCCTTGCCGATGACATGGGCCCTGGTAGAACGGGGAATCGACACCTTGATGGAGAGCTTAGTGCCGATCTGGTTGATGAAGTCCTTCAGAGCCTGGGTCGCAATATCCTGGGCGCCAGTAGCCTCAACCCTGACCTTGCCATCCGCCATGGTGCTGACCTTGATAGGTGCCCGCGACCTACGGTTAAAGTCCTTGGCGATGTCTGGCAGGGGTTTCTTCAGCTGGGCACGAGGAAGCACGTGTTGAGGTTCCAAAAGCGTGTACTCAACATTGCGGCCTGGGATCGAGATATTCGCAGGGCCCCTGACAGCCAGGGGAGTAGGAGTCGTTGCACCGGAGGGAGGTGCAGATGTTGTAGGAGTGCCATTGCTTTCGCTTGTGCCATTGGCACCGGTTCTCTTGGCCCAGATACCGGTGGGACGGGCAACAGGAGCGGGTGCAGTCCCGAGTTCTGGGAAAAGCTCACGGGACTGGGTAGCAATGTTGGCCTTCGCAGGATTTGGTGCGGCTGCTGGGGGGGCAGACTCCGTGGTGGTAGCCTCAGTGCTGGCAGCAGACTTGGGTGGGAGCTCTTCGTCTACCACATCCTCGACCGTTACGTGGTGCGTGGCATGCTGTTGCAAGAGCTGGCTAGCAGCTGAGGGCTCAGCGGGAACGTTATCGGCCATGGTTGGGGGATAGATATCGAGATGCGTAACGTAAGACGGGAGAAGCTTGTCGTGAAGACAAGTGAAGAGCCTGGCGGAGTCTGGCAAAGGTTAGATAAAGTTAACTCCATCAGATACGACGTCCACCCAGCACCCAAAGGCTTGTGTGGCGGCGAGGGCGTGGGAGAGCGGGGACATCACAACGCCATGTTACTCACGCCTGGATTAACGGACAGATCGTTGGAGAAAAGAGCTATTAAAAAAACTGTAGCCAGCGAGGGTCGACAAGCCCAATCAGTGACAGCCGGTCTCACGGAGAAAGACTGTAGTAGAAAGAGGTCGTGATGACGGTGTGTGTTGGTCTGCGGCAGGCAGGGGAAAACAGCGGAAACGAATATTAAAACGGCGGGCGATGATGAGGATGGGGGTTTAGAGCATCATGCGCAGGGAATTGACGCAATTGCTGTTCAGCGGCTATATAGGAGGGCGGGAGGGAACGAGCAGTGCGACGGCCGTGTGGAGGGCAGTACAGAGAAAAGGCCAGACAAGCAATCGATGAAGTTGCTCACAAATGGGGTCTCGCGGTCTGGAGCAAGCTGGAGCCAGGTGGACATTCAACAGTTTCTCCAATCGAGCTTCACCAAAAAAATGTTTGAGCAAGGGGATTGGCCTGGTAGCGCCATGGAACCCCCCCGGCGCCGAGGTGGGCCAGTCTTCCAGGTTGCTCTCAAGCCACACCATCCGCCGCCCCATGCCCCGCACCACTTGCGGCTGCCACGGCTGCCACGTCCGCCAACCGGCCTTGGATCGCATCTTTTGCAGCTGTCAAGCCTCATCTGCCAAGCCAACATTCGAGAACAATCCAACCATGCATCATCTTTGCTTGATCTGGTTGCTGTGTTACAGCTAGGCAGGGACATACCTTTCCATCTTGTCAAAGAGACAGAATATTCTCCGAATCTCGAGTGCTTTCTGAAATCTGGTGTTTGGGATGAGGGTGAGTGTGGGTGAGTAACAGATTGGCAAGGTCTGAAAGATATTGAGATGATGAGAGAGGAATGAACACAGAAGGACGGTTCGGAAGGAAACTGGACGGGTCTCACGCAATATATAGTGCCAGCTATCAGAGTGTAACTGGGAGTCGATGTCCATTTATGTCCTACATGGATCTAGCCAGCTGAGAGCCAGATCATCTCGTATGGCTTGCGGCATCTATAGCTGAAACTAATAATGTTCAAGATAACATTAGAGTGTGTTGAAGGCTTTGGTCCTAGACAGGCGATTTTCGGATACGACTCTATACCAACCTATAAAGGACCAATATGAGAACAAATTTCGGGTCCGCGATGCGCTCTCCTAGTCACGATACACAAAAAGACCGGGCTGATGTGCTTTTTTACCTGTTATCAACGGCCTCTAGATCCTACCACCAAGCCTTGCAACGCTGGCATCGGCTCGATCCAGTCGGCCCCCAAACCACGCCGACCTGTGCACTCTCGTTTTGCGCGCCGAAACGTCGTGTGAAGTAAATTGCCCGACTCTGTTCCTCGCCCGAGGGCCCGTCTCATCACTCTCCAGAGGGCAGGTGGAAGAAGGTGGCGTCTGCCGTGTGCCGAGCAGCTAATAAGAAGGAGAAGGGGATGTGAACACAGCGTTGTTAACCCCGGTATCGTCATCTCCCCTCATCGCATAACGGCGTATATCTGTCCAGTCAGGTCATTCCGGGGAAGGCCTCTCCTCATGAGGCCAGGTCCGTGTCTATAATCCATTGGTCTCATTCAGATAGCTTGTCAGTGACTGAGACTCGGAACATGCGTTTCATGATGGTCTGGATGGCCGCGTGTGAGTTGAACTCGTGATTATTTACCTAGATGAGAGGGACATATGGGTTAGTCAAAAGAGAAGCATATTGGCAAATCCATCAACGTATGAAGGCAGTTTTTCACGGGCCAGAAACAGTGACATAGACTGCTGTTGAACACCAAAGAACAGAGGATGGAGTTGAAGCGTGCAAAGTCAGCTCAGATCTTGGTGTTTCGTAGTGAAGTCTATGTCTCGGGTTCTCGAAGCCTATCTCCGGGGAGAGCGATTCATCGTTTTCTTCCGTGGTGCAGCTGCCCGTTATTCCCATATGCTGCCCAATCTCGCTGGCTTCCGTTGATGTTCTGGAAGGTCTGTCCACTGTAGGCTTGCTCCAACGACACAGTGTACAAACTGGTACAGTACGAAAATGTGCCGGCTCTCTTCCTCCACGGTTCCAAAAACAGACACGGAGTGACGAGGGCTGGTGCATTGGCTGCATACCTGCTGCAGCAGCCGTTCCGTTGACAGGCGATTGGGGAAGTTGGGGCTCATGGCCATGGTAGCAGGTGGATGTAGGTGACAGCAGATAGTCGCCGTTGCTGTTGTATTATGGGCGGTAGCAGTGCAACCTATAACAGATCCTAGTTAACACCGACAGAATACAGAAGTTTTGGCCGCGTGTCTGACTAGGAATGGCTACCAGGAGTTGATCAAAATAGAGATGCCATGATACTGATATCGAGCCCAATGATATCTAACATTCATTGATAGGATCCTCAGACAATCACCACTCTTTGCAGAGACAGTTGTGTTGAAGGATGAGGAATATTCTTCTAGACAAAGCCAAGTGTAAAGCGTCAAATAGTAGCGGAAGGGTTAGGGTTTGATACATCTTCCTACTTCCTAACAGAGCTGTCTCCTTGATAATTGATGTCGTGATATGCCATTGCGCCCCCCTAAGATTTTAAGTCAGCCGTTTTATGATCGACGGCTTGCTGCGGGGTCTACACCCGTCGATGTAATGCATTTTAGGATGGTTACTGGCATCTGTCTGGTCTGACACCAAGCATCCTAACATCTAGCCTGTCATGTCACTACCTATTCTCTTCTCTATCGTAGCGGTGCCTAAGTGCTGCCCGAGCCCCCGTCAGCATGTTGAGAAAACAATGAAAACCATGCGGTTGACCCAGATATCTCGGAGACTTCGGTGTTCGCTGACATGCAACAGAATAATCGAGAAAGTGTGGCAAGACGAGGTACGGGGTCGATGTATGTACAGCGCCCCATGTGTAGGTTCCTGCACGAGAGAGGAAGGGTTCCTCGGGAGCAACCTTAGATATGATGCCCTGCCGGCGGAACCGCCCATGGCATCGTGATTCCATGCAGCTTCGAGCATGATGATGGGCAGCTGGATGTTGCTGGGTAGTTTTGAAACGGAGAGCAAAAGCACGGGCGAACCCTGATGGTCGGGTAGGCTGGTGTGGGGTCAAAATGGGACCCTCCTAGGCGACCCTTGTCGATCGGCGGTCATTTCCAACGGTTTTCCTGCCACTTTGCTGGGCACAATTCAAGGAAACCTCGCCAGCGGTTCCAACCACCACACAAACCTGATAATCCTATCTCTACACCACTACCTTTATCTCTTTATGTATCGCCCTCCGTGAAATCAAGCTGAACTGTGGGTGTTGATCTCAACTGGCTCGCATGCTTCTTCTCCATGCCCCCCCCCCCCACCTCTCCACAATCCCATCATCAGGGTTATCGATCAGTCGAATTCCCACTGTGCCCCTTCAAAGCCGATCTCCCCACTCTCGTGTCCCGCTCAGACCCAGAAGCAGGACATGTTTGCTCCAAACCCATCATCCTGCCATTTTAAACTCATGCAAGCACGGTCCGAATCGACAAGGCTTTGTCACAAGCCTTGAGAGCTTGGTGGCTGGTTACGAGGCATTAAGGCCCCCTAGGAAACAGGAGCTGTGACTGAGGGGTATCCTGCCTTTGGATAAGGGTCACGCCAGACCTCACAAGTTGAGCAATGAGTTGACTAGAGGAGAGCAACAACCGATAGTGCGGCAGCCTCTCGCGCCTGATTGCTGCTTGGTGGTTCATGCGCTGCTCATAGCAACCTGCCTGCCATCCCATCTTTTTCATTTTATTTTTTTTAACGCGCGGGAGCTTGTGACTGCTGTCGTCCTGTCACCACCTTGTCGTCCGCCTGAGTTCTAGAAAACGGTGGCCCGGGAGGGTTAGTCCGGTGTCCGTTCTGACAAGGCCCCCTGTTCCCTGGCTGGGTCTCGTCGTCTTGCCCGCTGCCCCTCCTCTCCGTTCGTTTCCTTTGCCGCCGACGTTGCGTCTGGCTCGCACTGTGTCCGGCAGTCTCAATCGCGCTGCGTTTCCGCCAAATGCCACCACGATGGCCCGGGGGAAGCCAAGGTCTTCTCTGTAGCAGCATGTACAAGGACTGAACTGAAGCACAGCCAAGCAGAAGGCGAGGAGGACGACAACGAAAAAACGAGAGGCCAAAACGCAATTTTGCACTCTGCTACCCTCGCTCCGTACCTCAATTACTGTGACTGCCCCCCCCTCCCCCCTGGAGTCACCTCACATAGAATTCGTACGTTTCCATGGTTTCTTCTCTCCCTATTATTGCTAAGTATTATTATTATCTGATTGTTTAATGCTGCCACCCCATCCGCCCGTGTCCCAGTCCCAGCCCTCCTTTGTGCCGTGAGTCTGTCTTGAGACGGGAGACCGGGAGCAACTGGAAGAGAGAAATGGACAGTCCCAAGACTTCTTCTTTCAACGGCAACGGCAGTTCACACCGTCGCAGGCTCACCAAGAAGCCCCCGCCGAACCACCATCATCCCTCCAGCGTCTACAGTAGCGTCAGTGTCAGTGTCGATGGTCGTGGAGTTGACGCCCAATCTTTAGGGAGCAAACGAAGCTCGACGAGCTTGAAGCGGGCCCCAAGCGCCCCCCTAGCCAGAAGTAGTCCCGCCGCCCCAAAGCACCTCCAGCATCCAAACGCGTCCGACAAGCAGAAGCAGGCCTACAACAAGACCACCTCGCCACGCATCCCCGCCGCACCACCGGCACCCTCGTCGGCCCTCTCCCCAGCAAACCGATCGCATACCGCGCCCATCCTTCCCGCCCGCGACTCTACGGCACCTGCACCAAAGCCGCCAAAGCTGTCGCTGTCCAGATCATCGTCCACTGCCCCCCGCGCTCAACATCGACCCCTCAGCACCAAGACCTCGGACGAGCTAATTGGCGCTCCCTTTGACGGCACTGCCATTCTCAATCGCATTGAAGCGACGAAGTCACCCACGCACCACACCACACCCGTCGCAACAAGCACAACCACCTCGCACCACCACCACTTCCACAATAACACCGCCAAGCGTAACACATCCCCGCCGCGATCAACTCCTCACGCCTTGTCGCAAGCCAATTCGGACGCCCGAGTCATGGGCAACTCACCTCCGCCCCTCCGCCAATCGGCGAGCTTCTCCGCCACAGAGGCATCGTCTCTAAATGAGAAGGCCAGCGGCTCGTCAAAGACGGAGAGCTCGACCGGGCCGAAGAGGTATTCAGACGAGACGAAGGAGACCAAGATGCCCAGTGTCTTGAGGAAAAAGTCGGGCTTCTCAGGCTTCATGAACAGTCTGGTCGGCTCGCCAAAGAAGCCATTGATCTCGGCGCCAGAAAACCCAGTGCATGTCACCCATGTTGGTTATGACAGCACGACGGGCCAGTTTACTGTTCGTAGCCTCCTTTTTAGCTTTCTCGGTAGCTTTCAAACGGCTGGGCTAACCCTTATTTACTGACAGGGCTTGCCAAAAGAGTGGCAGCGATTAATCAACGAGAGCGGCATCACGGAGAAGGACACACGAGAACACCCCCAGATACTTGTCGATGTTTTGACATTTTACAAGGAGACTACAGAAAAGCCCCAGGAAGACGTACAACTAGAGAAGTTTCACGATGCGCGAGCAAACGATTACCGAGGACTATCTGGGAGCACACCATCTTCGGCGGCCTCGACCCTTCCCTCCCCAAGTGTGCTCACTTCTGGGTTCACATCGATGTCGCCTTTGATAAGCCCTCCTGCAAGTCCGAGATTCCCAACTGTCACCCACGAAGGCAGTTTCGAGAACCCTCGCGCACCCCCTCCGGTCCCCAAGGGGCCTGCTCCTCCAGTCAAAGATGCCAACCTTATGCCTAGCCGACCGGCGCCAAAACCACCAACCAGTCTCCCCTCGAGGACGCAGCAGCAGCCTGGATATCCAGCAAAGGACTCCGGAATTGGCATGCCACATCCAGGAGAAGATGGTGCCACACCATATCTCCCACCAAAGGACAACATCCCAATGTTGCCGGAGGAGCTCCGGTCCAGATCAAACTCGCGAGCGAACGGCACCTCCCCTTACCTGCCGTCGTCATCACAAGCTACAACGGCTGTCACCACCCCCAGCCAAGCAGCCATCTACCAGCAGCAGCTGATGCAGCAACAACAAGAGCAAGCCATGGCACAAGCCCAAGCGGCCATGACGGGCCAGCTGGGTCGGGCGACCAGCAAGCGACAACAACACCAACAGCCCACCCCGCCATCCTCCCAACACCCCCATCTTCGACAAGCCGAGCAAGCGGGTCGGGTACCACAATCCCAACAGCAAGTCGCACAAGCCAACTCAACCCGCCCACGACACCGACCACGACAGTCTAACGGAGTTGACGTGGTCGCCGCCCTCAAGAGTATATGCTCCGAGGGCGACCCGCGGGAAGTCTACCGCGGGTTTACCAAGATCGGCCAGGGTGCCTCCGGCGGAGTGTTTACTGGACATGAGCGAGGGTCTAACAGGCTGGTGGCGATCAAGCAGATGAACCTGGAGCAACAACCCAAGAAGGACTTGATCATCAACGAAATCCTGGTCATGAAGGAATCCTCGCACCCAAATATCGTCAACTTTATCGACAGTTATCTCTGTGCGGGCGAGTTGTGGGTGGTGATGGAGTTTATGGAAGGCGGCAGCTTGACGGACGTGGTGACGTTCAACATTATGACCGAGGGGCAGATTGCGAGCGTGTGCAGGGAGACGCTCAGGGGATTACAGCATTTGCATTCCAAGGGTGTGATTCATCGGGACATCAAGAGCGACAACATTTTGTTGAGCATGGAGGGTAATATCAAACTCAGTATGTAACCTCACAATTACCTGGGTACTCTTGGGTTCTTGGGCTAACCAAAATCAACAGCCGACTTTGGCTTCTGCGCCACCATCAACGAGGCGCAAAACAAGCGTACGACCATGGTGGGAACCCCCTATTGGATGGCGCCAGAGGTGGTTACGCGAAAGGAGTACGGGCGCAAAGTCGACATTTGGAGCTTGGGCATCATGGCCATCGAGATGATTGAGGGGGAGCCGCCGTACCTGACCGAGTCGCCGCTGAGGGCGCTGTGGCTGATCGCTACCAACGGGACGCCCACCATCAAGAACGAGCAGGATCTGTCGCCCGTGTTTAGGGATTTCTTGTACTTTGCGCTCAAGGTGGATCCGGAGAAGAGGGCGAGCGCGCATGATTTGTTGAGGGTGAGTCTTTTATTTCTTCCCCGCTTGTTTCTTTTGTATTTTTGAGGGGGGTGGTTGTTTTCCGACTGTTTTTGGGAGACTGTGACGCTGACACTTTGTGATGATAGCACGACTTCATGAAGACATGCGTTGAGCTATCTTCCCTGGCGCCGTTGGTGAGGGCGGCGAGGGAAGCGAGGGCTCAGGAGAAGGCCCGGAAGGGGCAATGAATGATTTATCTCTGATGTGGGATTTTCTTTTTACCGGATCACACAGACATCATCACATGGCTAAGCGGAGCCAGACAGACACTTTTTTTCACCGAGCGAGTTGTTTGTTTGTTTTTCCTCTTACTATTACTTACTACTATGTTGTACTGAAATGTACTTGTGATGTTTTGGTTGGATCTAAACAGGGTGGATGGGGGGTTGGGGGTTAGGGCGTGGGGGAAGCGGTGGGATTTATTTTCTTACTATGATCTTTTGTGTCTTGAGGAAAAAGACATATCATACTATTCAAATTTAGCGGTTTTTTTTTTTGCTTTTTTTTTTTTTTTTGCTTTCTACTTGGGCTGTTGTTTAGTGGGGCTTTTGCAAGGGAGTTTGGTTGGTAGTTTTGGTTGGGGGAGATAGTGCTATAGCTGGTTTTTGGACGAAGGATGAAAGGCAAAGCAGAGGGATATGTTTTGCTTAAATTTTACAAAAGGCCAGTTTTATCAGATTCTTCTTTTTACTTTTGACTTTGATCGTGAGGGGTTTTGGTGAGAGGTTAAGGGGAGTTGGCGAGGTCTTTTCGATGGTGTTTTGTAAGAAGGGAATGGGGGGCCATGCTTGGGGTTTGGGCGGGGGAAGGACGGTGTTACACCAATCGCAAAATTATGATCATGCTTGAGGCACCTACAATGCTTGCGTTTCTTATGTCGGTGGGCGTTTTTGTGTATATATATCTATGGCATGGAATGGATGGTTGGGACTTGTTGAAGCAAGAGCTGATTGAGCTGTATGAAATGCACGTTAGGGCTTCCTCTCCTGTTTGGTATGAAATTGAGTAGGGGAGAGAACTGAATCTCTTTCTAACTTTTATCTATGAGATTTTTTCTATCCCTGCGGTTGTAAAAGGTATCAGTTGATGAAACTAAATACGGTGGTAGGTAGCAAAATGGTATAACTACCTAGTGATGAGGCGGTGATGCCCAACAGCAACAACGAGTGAAGAGCGGACGGGGGGGGCTCGAAGCCACCCTGTGAATCGGCCTACCAACCAACGATCATTCACATAAAAGGCGCAAACAGCAACAAACGGAGTTTTGTGCTACCTGACTTTGGCATGAGCATGTGATTTGCTGTGGTGGGTGGGTGGGTAGTTTGGATGAGATGGAGATATATGCCTATATGCCTTGGCTATGGATTCTATTCAGGGGATGGAATACCGATAAAGAAGGAGCAAAGCCAAGCCATCAATTCGACAAGTCCAAACAATCGTCTGTTCCAGTCGTCACAAAGGGCTACTGTGAATAATCAGATCAAGTCTAACAAATCTCTCGTATTTGCGAAATGTTGTTACACACACACAACACATTTTAAACCCTCCATCACCCTTCCTCCACGGTCTGTCTCTCAGTCCAGAACCTCTTGCTAAAATCGACTAAGAAGCATATATCATTGATAATGAAAAAGAACCTCGGCAACTCCCGAGTCTAGCTCCCATTCTTTGTCAAGCTTTTCAGAGATCTTCTAGACCCATACACGCGTGCATCCCTCCCTCCCATCAGTCTCGAAGCTCGCTAGAACAAACCAAGACAAAGACCTACCACACCAACCACCACGTGGGAAATAAAAGCCAGCACATTGGCCGGAACAAAACCAAGCCAGCACGTTGGCCAGAACAAAAACCTCGACACCACATCACGAGCAAACCCCAAAAAATTCCGGAAATAAATCCATATTCATATTAATTAGTCTTTTGTTTGCAATATTCGATTTTGCTAGGTAACGAGCCTAAAACCTTAAGTCGTTATTGAGGATTCCCTATACCCCGGAACCTATAAAAAAAAAGAGACGAATCCAGTGAAAAATGAGCCCCCGATTCTTTTTAATGTTTGCACCCATATCGTGAGAAAGAGAAAAAAAGACCCCCATGAAAAAAATAAAAAATATCATCGCTGTACGCCCCCAAAGTAAACAAAATCCCATCGCTCATGAAGATAAAAACCCCATAATCACCATCCATCCGTCCACCCATGCCATTGTCAGAATCCACTAATTTTTGCTGCTGCTGCCCATGAGGAACACATAAAAAAAGCCAAACCGTCTATAGGGTATCCCGAAGCCGATAAAAGCAGCAAATTATTTCTTGTCGTATCATAAACTTAGTAGAGACTGTAGCCACCGTCAATGATGACGTTGGACCCGGTCATGAAACCGGAGGCGTCAGAGGCGAGGAACACGCAGAGACCGTTGAGGTCATCCACGTTTCCGAGGCGGTCCTGGGGAGTCAACGACTTCCAGATCTTCTTTTGGGCGTCGAGAGCGGGAACCTTGTTGAGGGCCGTGTCCATGTAGCCGGGGGAGATGCAGTTGACGCGGATCTGGTACTTGGCCCACTCAGCAGCGAGGGACTTGCCGAGCTGGATGACACCAGCCTTGGAGGCGTTGTAGCAGGACTGCTCCTGTGGGTAGTTGACGATGGAGCCGGACATAGAGGCGACGAGAATGATGGAACCGGGCTTGCCAGCGGCCATCATGGCACGGCCGACCGACTGGGACATGAGGAAGGAACCAGTCAGGTTGATGTCGATAAGACGGCGGAACATGGCTGGGTCGTAGGTCTCGGCGGGAATGTTGGAATCGGCGATACCAGCAGAGTTGACCAAGACGTCAGGGGTTCCGTAGAGATCGACGACGTTCTTGACGGCGGCATCAATGGCATGTCCGTCACGGACATCAACCTTGAAGAAGGAGACGGGCAGGCCGGTCTTCTGGTGAAGCTCGGCAGCAGACTCATCACCGAGCTCTTGGTTGGCATCGAAGATGGCAATGGCCTTGGCACCAGCTTCAGCGCAGGCACGGGCCATATAGTTTCCAAGACCACGAGCACCACTAATTTCTTGTTAGTAATTTATGACTTCCATCGTTCGAAGTTGTGCAAGTTGAACATACCCAGTGATGATGATGACCTTGCCGTGGACGCTCATCTTCTGCAGCGTCTTTGGGAGCTGAGAGTAGACCTTCTCCTCAAGGGGAACAACCTCCTCATCCTCCTCGACGACGGGCTCAGGAGCACGCTGACGAGGCTTGACGGGGATGCTGAAATGGTCGGCATTGCCAGAAGCGACGCCCTTAGCGTCGGGGTTGTAGACAGAAACGGGAACCTCAGTCTCCTTGATCACCTCAGACTTGAAGCGGCCGGCCGAGACGGAGAAGGCGGCGCGCTGGCAGACCGAAGGGGTTGTGCGAGCGACAGCGGGCCGAACGAGGACCGAAAGGCGCGGGGCCATGCGGGCGGCACGAACAGCAGAAGCCATTTTTGCTGATTTGTGGTGTTGTTGCTGATTTTGGTGGGTGTATGGTAGACTTTGTGAAAAAGTCAAAAAATGCTCAAGAGCAAGAAGTGGCTTGAGCGAAACGTGGGTAGCGAAGGTTCAGCGAAATAAACGAAGGTACGAACGAGCTGAGTGTTCGGCCAGAAGCACTTGACACGAAGACAAAGGGGTCGTTGGGTGTAAGTGAATGAAGAGGCTGGGGGGGGGGGGGGGGAAGGAGATTCGGCTGATGGGTTCAAGGTACGTTAAATGTACCTGGGCTCCTCAATAGCGACCACAAAACTGCTCGTTGGTGGGTGAATCAAAGACCTGACAGCGTGAACGGGGCCGCCAGGCTCTTGTTATTTATAGGATGAATGGGATGGGATAAGATGGAGCAGGGGAAAAGTCTTTCTGCTAGGAGCGTGACGTGCTGGCTGAAGCTAGGGAAGGCCGGAGGGCGGATGAGGCAAAGGACCAGTCAGGGGAGCGGGGCCAAGATGGTGGCGGAGGGGCGAGTCGAGATCGTTCTTCTGAGAGGGTTGTTTGCGGATCAGCAACAATTTCTCCACGCAAAGTCGCAACCGCGAGTGCCGATTATGCGCCTGTTCCAAGTATATGCTGCAACGCTGCAAAATAAGCTTCCGGTCTCGACGTTTCCGTGCGTCTTTCCGCAGCGAAACGACCGGCCAGTAGCCAGGATTCAGAGATGGATGGTTGATATCGACATGCCACCACACCACCACTCCCACCTCCCACAGACAGGGACAAGCGGCACAGCATTGTCTTTTTGCGGGGAGCGGCACAGAGCGGCATGCTGCGGACGTTCGTCTAGACCCTCTAGACCAGCAACCATCTCATCTATTGTTCCCAGGAGAAGCGTGATGCCAGGTTATTGTTGATGAGGCCTTAGCCTGACGTGGTGGGTCTCCACTTGGAAGCCCCGCCAGTGCACCAGGTGGTTGGACGAAGTCTTCAACAACGGCAAAACTTAGAGTAACAGATCCACTGGACGTACCTGGGTTGGAGACGTTCACCGGTTGAGGCTGATGATTTGGTCGACAATGGACGAAAGCTAGAGATTGGCGTCTGTGTCCCCCTCCAACTCTGGTGGTTCAGTGCTTTGGTATTTATCTGCCCACCATCTAACTGATAATCAGTAACCACCCCCTCGAGGCCGAGCATTTGCTGAGCGGGATCCTCGAGCGGTGAGAGCACATTTGGTGGGCCCAAAGATTGAGATTCAGTCACAAGACCAGCAGCAATTTCTCGGGAAACATGCAGTGCTCCAGAGTGCGGAATCGTTGGTGTCAGGGTCGCGGATGACGGTCACAGGTCGCCTGTCCTGACACTTTTCCAAAAGGGCAAGTGATTGCGACAGCATCTGTTGTTTCAACCACGCTTGCTGCGACCGCTAACTAGAATAGGTAAGTGGAGGTTAAATAGACGACAGGGCTGGCAAGGGCTGCGTGCCAGGGCCAGCCTGGGAGCTCTTGGACGATCAAAACCCACCCTCAACAGCATCAAACATCCGGCACTCTCCAAACGCACCTCGTCGTGCTCGTCCAGACGTGTCACACACCCAGCAGGGATTTTACACCCGCCTTGGCTTTGAACTGATCAGCAACACGTTATCTTGAGATACGAGACATGCGGCCCACGCCGGACCTCTGGTACGGCTTCATCTTCTTCTCTCCATTCTCTCGGTGGCCGTCGTTGCCGGAGATGGAGCTGCAGCACCCATCGTGTGGGGTTACATGCAGAAAAAAAGTGCGGTGGAAACCCCGGTCAATTGGCGTCGTGGCAAACCACACCATCAACTTTCTGGCGGTGCGTGGGGGCCCAATTTTTGAAAACCCATCCTCTAGTCCAGGGGCTTCCTACACCCAGATATCACCAACTAAAACATTCACAAAAGATAATTGACCCCCGACACACTTCACACCACTCAACATTCCGCAGAGCGGTGACCTACCCCTCAGAAGCCCCGCAGACCCCGCACTCAACAGAGACACAATCGGAGCTTGGGCTTGGACCTGCATGGGACTGAACCGGTGGTTGGGCTTTTCAGTGTGAGTTGGACACGACAGTCGATATCTCGACATCTACCAGTAGGAGATGCAGCCTCTCTAGAGCAGTAGCACATACCGCTTACCTTGCATCAAGAACCGTCTCACCGAACTTTGGAGCCCGAGCTTTTTGTTGGTGGTAAGGTCCATGTTGCTCGATCGATTCGAGGAACACAACACCATCGCCGATGATGAACTCATGCCGCACACGCCATTGGCAAAAAGAACCAAAGGTGCGGGATGCATCAGCAAAATATCTCGACATTAGGTCATGTGGTTGCCTATGAAACTCGACTTGCCGGCTCAATCGGCAAGGATAGTAGTGTTGATGAAAAGACATCTACACCATCAACTACCTAATTCACATGGCCAAGACACCGAGCGGGGAGGACCGTTGGGCTATCACTTCGGGAGGACCTGCAACGTAACCTGCGGTGCACAGCCTTTCGGATTTAGGAGGCAGCATCCACGAATTGAGGCTGTCTAGGGGAGCACCCTTGCCACAAAATAATTGAGACACCAAAGTAGGTTAACACGCCTTAAAGATAGTTTATAGGCCTATAAACTATCTTAAAGGCGTGTTAACCTACTTTAGTGTGTCAGCTATTTCGTGGTGAGGGAGGGGAGCTCCAGCTCCTATCTCGACCGGTACATTGTCGATCTTCTGCCTTTATGATGGTCCGCTATTCGGAGCAGTATCTCAAGAAGCAAATGAAGCCTACCCTCCATCAGGTACCGTCGACCCAACCGCAGGCAAGAATCAACTAAGCAGCACAGTCGTTGCATGAGCGTCTGCATGCCCCGCCCAGCCGCCATGCAGCACGGCTGTACGAAGCCCCCTCAAGCAACCCAACCCAACCCGTACCTCTGCATATATTTTCGCAGCTTCCGAGTGACGCGTCAAAAATGGTTATCAACGCCTGCACCACGCAAAGGCACGCAGGGTATGGGAGGGAGGAACAGTAATGCACAGTCAAATCCTTCGGTCGAGACTACTGAAGTCGAGAACGTCAACGACCTGGTGCCCCTTGTTTGCTGTGGCCTATCGGAGTTGCTGAATGCATCATCTTGATAGGGACTTTTTTTCCTGCACTGTTGGCCTGAGACGAACTCCATCAAGAAGCCCTTCCAGAACCTTTCGGATACCCCACCTGAGTCGGGACTCATCCGCGGGTGCGGGGATTTGGCTTGTTGGCCATCCCGCGGCCGTCTGCCCATCGGTCGTTTGGGTTCATCAATCACCTCATCACCAGCAACGACAAGAACGCCCACCTGTCAGACAGGGTAAATCAAGGCCCCCCATGGTTTGACAACATGTCCTCCCCGTCTCCCCCTTCATCTCATCCCCTCACTGTCTTTTTCTCCGTAGTTGGTGGTGTTAACACCCACCGCCAACAAAAATCCACCACCCAAAAACTCACGATCCAAGGCATGTCGTTCAAAAAAAGGTACGGGGTAACCTCCGCCAGCTCGAGCCAGCTCCGTGGGACACGCCAACGCCAAGCGAGCCCCATCCAACGGCTCACGATAATCTTCCCGCAGGGTCGAAGCGAGCCGCCGCCAGTCAGCCACAGCATCGTATGTTTATTTCCCGGCCATTTGGGTCGGCAAGGGCCTAGCCCGCCGCCTTTTTACCCCAGATCAGATCTCACGATGGCCTCAAACTCGCCACCATTGGACCCCTGAATCCGGGGCGCCTTGTGACCCCAGAACGCTTGGACCACAGACAGTCTCGGTCGCAGCAACCCTTACCCTCACGATCGATCACGCAGGTCACAGCAGCAGGCATGACATTGACGTTCACGATGTTCCCGCTTTCCCGGTTTTCTCTTCGTCGCCACTGCACAGATTGCATAAAATTGCTGTCGCAGCGGGAGAGCCCGTTGACAGCGGGTCGTGGCCGCATGGCACACAGAAAATCCGACAATCTAACGTTCCTCTCTTGGCCCAAGGAGTCGAGACCGCTGTCGCCCGGAGCCAAGCGGACCATTTTAACTGCTCTTCAGCGTAAGTTACATTTGGTGTGCGTCTGATGTACAATATCGAGTTCTCCAACCTCTGGAGTCGTTGCTTTATGAATATCACATCTGGCAGCCAAATGGCCCTCATCCACATTAACCTCGAGAAACACATCGACCTCCCCCTTTTTCGTTTTCCCCTTCCAGCTTGCTTGCTCATGGAAGATCGCATACATATCTAGCTTTCAGGGCTTTCTCATTCACATAAATTACAGCAATTCACTTTCTTCAGCGACTGCTCTCAATCTTACAAGACTGATATCACTCAATCCGAGTCGACCTCATTCCCCAGTTGCTCCTGTTTGATCATCACAAGGTATATAGCAATTCATCTTTCAGGAGATCACTCCGCATCTTTTAGACTGATTTTATTCGCATTCCATACTATGAAAACGCTAGTACACACTCTCACATGAAGCTTGGATGAGAAATAAAGGGTATTATCGTACAGTATTCAGCCACAAGCGATACATCCTAAATTTAGGACAAGAAAGAAAGAACAATCACCACCCTGAAGAAGCCCTTCCAGTGATCCATCCACCCACCATTTCCTTCCCATCCTCGCCTCAAGACGAAGAAATGTCTCCGTCGAACAACCCAAACCATTGTTTCTCCCAAATTCATCTTTTTTTCCCATGAAGAAACGCCCAAACACAGACACACACACACAAAAAAAAATCATCTCCATCTTACTCCTCCACCACAAACCTCCTAACCTGCTGCCTCTCCTCCAAAAGCCCAAACAACCCCGCCAAATGCGGCGTCAGCAGCCTATTCTCGGTAAAAACCTCCCACAACCTCCCCATCACAGGCCTAAACAAAATCTCGTTCCAACCTTCACCCTCCTCCCCCTCATTCTTCCTCCTCCTCAACTCCGCCTCCGCCTCCGTCCTCGGGACATACTGCGCAATATTCCTCAGAATCAAAACCGCGCTAAGCGGCACCCCCGCCGCCTGCGCCGGCGCATTCGGGTTCCGTTCATCCTTCGCGCTCGCCGTCTCCTCAATCGTGATCGTTACCGTCTTCGCCGGCCTGACAACCCTCGACTTTGAAGAAGACGAAGAGAAACTCCCACTCCTGGATCTGTTAGTGGTCGAGGTCGGGGACGGAGGGGGGGGCGGTAGGGGGGCCAAAGGAGAAATCTCCGATGGCTTGGCCGCGTGTCGGATCTCCTCGCTGCGGAGGTGGGTTTTGAGGTGAGCCATGTACTGAACGAGGAACATCTCTGTGGGGCGGGGGAATTTCTGGCAGTTGTTCCAAGCGCAGGAAAACATCCCTTCCTTGTTGACCAACTTCCCATCTTCAGTGCGGGAGACGCTGTCACCTAAATGTTCGGCAACAATGTGATCCCACATCTTCTCTGCTGTGAGATTCCACGCGCCGCATTTGGCTCCCCCGGGGGGTTTGCCATGAGGAGCAGGAAGTTGACACTGGAAATACCCCCTCCCGTCTGGGCTGATGGGGTACCGTCTTGGCCTGATGCCCCTAATCAGGTACTTCTGCTGAGACTGCCCTCCCGGCCCCTGCTCGTGCACAATCTGGGCCCCGGCCGATTCATAAACGCTCGTGATGCTCTTGATAAATTCTGGCGCGCTGATCATGCTACGGCCCTTCCGCTTGAGGGGTTCGAGGAATTCCGTGTTGTACGCCTGCCAGATCGCAAGCTGGGTGATGTTGGAGTCGGGGTCTTCCTCAAAGAAACACCGGATCCAGGCGTAGCAGCGCTCCGGTTCTTCAATGGCAAGAAGCTTCTCCAACAGGTCCTTCGGTGTAGGAACGACCGTCTCGTTGGGGGGGTCGTAGGCAAGACGCGCCTCGCTGACAATCAGCTCCCGCGTTGATCGCTTGGCGCCGTGGGAGAGCAGTCGGACGAGGTGCGTGACGAGATGCTCTATCTTGATGTGCTTGAGCATCGTGTCAAGGTTCTCGACTACGGCTGTGTACTGGTAGAGGAAATCGGTGGTAATGTCCAGCAGGTCCTCGTCGTTGAGGAGAAGCCAGTCCATGATACGCTGGAGGACCGAAGGAGGGACATTGCCGAGTCTGTTCGTCTCGATTGGGTGGTTTAGTGCGATTTTGTTGAGCGCCTTCAGGGCAGTCAATATCACACCCCGATCGTCCGACTCGAGTTTCGCAAGTAGTGACTGATACAGAGGGTCGTCTGATCTGAGGACAAGGTAAGGGAGAATCGATTCGGCGATTTCGAGAGCGAGATGCTTCAACTCCACGACGCACTCCAGTTCTGGCAAATTGAGAATGACGCAGAGGAGGTCCTTGACTGGAGGGTACTCGGACATAAAGTAGGCATTGTCCGGCATGTTGACCATGTTGCGGATGGTCTGTGTCGCCTCCAAAACCAGCGTGAGCTGGTCGCGGAATTCGGCGGGAAGAATGTTGTCGTCGACATCCTTCCGACGCTTGAGCTGGGCAATTCGTTCCAGGATATCTGGGGTGCCCTCGAGACCATCCAGCTCACCAATGTCGGTGTTGTCGGAATCGGGGTCGTAGGAAACTGTCCAGTTGACATGGTAAATCATGCCACCAATACTAAGAGCAAGCTCCGTCAAGCCCTCAGCGAGACCACAGAACTGAGAGAACTTGTATTTATCACCACGCTCGTGTGAGATTTTGAGGAGATGATGACAGCCAAACGCCTGTTCTGACCGGATGCCTGACCGAAGCGACAAGAGACAACGCTCGTAGATGTTGGGCCCATCCAAAGCTCCTGGAAACCAATGTTAGAGTTGAAAAATACCATAAACAATCCTAACAAGTGCTTACCAGGTGGTAGACAAGCTCTTACAAGCATCCCCGGATTAGGGGCAGCGACTGGTGGCTGCTTCAGGAGTCGTTGTTTCCTGGCAAACAGCTCCGGGTTGCTGGAGGGGGTGTCGACGATACGCAACGGCATCTGCTGGACAGGCTGGGGCACAAAGCCCTGAACGATGGGATTGTTCATGTCGGGCCCTGGAGGGTTGAAAACATATGCGCCACGGTGGGAGTTTCCAGGATTTTGAGCAATCGCAGAGTTGTTGTGAGAGTGGGAGTTGGACGAGGGGGTACCTATTTGCTGCGCTCCAGATGCGTGACGGGTCTGGCGTGAGGAATTGGTGTCGGGATGGAAAATAACCCTCGGTGCAGGAGCTTCCCTGAGGCCTCGGGAGGCGCGGCCTGATGCAGGAGTCTCGGCGACAGGACGCTCTCTGCCCGGCGTACTTCCATCCTCAGAATCCTCCCTATCGTTTCTCCCCTTTGCGACAAAGTTCTCCAATGTGCGTGTCAGTAGCGATCCTCCCTTGGCAGTCGTAAATTCGAGGATCTCTGGCGGAGGAGGCTCCTTGTTGTGGATTTTCTTGATCTCGAAGGCGGCAAGGTTCTTGTAGAATATTTGTTTCAACGTATACGCGTCGGCCGGGGCGTTGTGTCGCATGAGTCCCAACCCTTCGCACATCTTCCGCCACATCAGCTTCTCATCCGAGACCTTGTCATAGCCACCATTTTGCACGATGTAGTTGAACAGCTTGTACAGGTCGACACTCAGGTTTCCCATCTTGGGCTCGGGGTCAAGATGGGTCCCGCGCTTCTCATGGAAGTCGCGAAGCTCCTCGAGGAACTTTTCATATTCGGGGGTTCGGTCGACGGTATGCTCAACGATGGGTTTGGTCGGGGCCATCTTGGCGCATCGAGACGCAGCTCAGCGTCCAGATGCTGTCGAGTGTGCTGGGGAATTGACAGTGATCGGGTTCTAGTGTTATAAGTCGCTATACCATGCGATAATCAGTTCCGCTACCTGGGATCGGAAACGTGACTGCTGTGAAGAATGTGGAAATGTTGGTCGAGAAAACAGGTGGTGTTTTGTCTCCAGCCAGCTGCCGTGATGCGACGCGGGTTGCTGACTTCAATTGACGTGCACTGGGATTTTTTGGCGAGCAACGATGGCTGGAGATATATGCCAAGAGACGCACAGACCATCACCGTCGTGTTACATGCACAGACCATACAGAGGAGCATCTCTCCCCTTAATGCTCTCAACCTCTCACACCTGCTCTCTTGACCATTTTGAGGCCTAAGGATGAGATGAATGAAATGGGGTTCCAAGGGGGATTGTTCCTTTATTTCCCATGTAATTGGCATCAGAATGGCTGCATATATATTTGGTACTTTACCTACTCCAGTTGCTAAGCTAAGGGCTTACCATCAACCCCCCTTCCTCAGTCCTTCGCTCCACATGAAACTCAGTCGTGCCTTCCAAGATGACGGGATGGCCTTCATCGTACCTTCCCATCAAACCTGCTGTGTGGGGTAATAAAGTCCGGCTGTTCAGTTTGAAGCGCATAATTGGGGGGCCAGCAATGAATTGAGACCTTGTCTTTTGAACATGTCATGAATGTTCTTCGACTTGCATCTACCCTCTCTCCCAATGTTCCTCGCGCTCCAAATATCCGGCCATGCCTGCTGCGAAGCCCACGCCACAGCCTAGAAGACCAATACGCAGATTCGAATTGCAGGATGTCCGCTTTAATGGCAGATCAAGCTTCTATAAAGACCCGCAGCTTGTGCTGAAGCCGCAACTCGATCTTGTTCCTCGTAGACCAGTCGATGGCTCGCGACTTCGGATGCCTCTATGGCGAAATTACTTGATGGTCCATGTTAAAGACAGGGCTGAGGAACTGGTCAAGCTCGACCTTGCAGACTTTCGTCCGTCGGAGGGGCCTACAGACAACGGTGCACCAGAGCAATTCATACGCCGCGCCCAACATGAACCTGTTCTTTATGTTCGATATCCTTCCAACACTCAAGATGTAAGTATTGGTGGCATGTCGTATATTCAGATACTGATACTCAGTGCCCCAGGGATCCTCAATACTCAGAGCCACTCTCAAAGTTGCTTCGGACTTTGAGACTGTCTTGAAGGAATTTGATGATTTAGGGATAAATGTCGACTGTTATCAAGAGGAATTGCAGCAGGATCAGAGTTATTCTTGGAGCCAGCCTTACAGCCAATCACAAAACGTCTACTACCACCCGACTCCAAACGCCATGTCTCCCCCACTGCCACCACACAGCTCGCCATACAGCTCATCAAATCACTCACATCCTTACAGCTCAAGCCCACCATATTCAATTGCACCAAATCCACCATATCACTATCCCAACGCAGCACCAGATCAACTCACCTATCAGCGATCTGCAAGTCAACCGGTGGGATATCCTGGTGGTTATCAATCTCAAGGACAGTGGTCGCCTCCAGTGATGCCATCCCCGGCAGCAACAACCATTGGAATCCCTGGAGTACTCGGAGCGGGCATATACAAGGTTAGCAAACTCGGGTCATTTTCGTCTTCTCGATCAAGGTCACGGAAAAGCCAACCCTCTCGAGGAGGGCACGGCTCTGCTCCTGGGAAACATCTCGACGATAACCACCAAACAACCCAATCGCCTAGCAGTGGAATATCCAGCCCACATCCTCTTCCGGACTCTTCCTATTCTGTATCCGTGCCCAGGAGGCTTCTCCAGCGAGTGCAGACAATTATTAGTGAATCAGAGAGCCAAGAGACCATTTCGCAAGCGTCGACTCTTACGTCAGACTATGAAGACCCTTCGACACGACCGTTTGGGGGTTTGAGAATACCAGAGGAGGAAGAAGCTGGAGAGGCATCTAGCCAACAGACCGCGATCACCACGGTGGCATCGACTAGGTCAGCCACGAGTACTGCAATGGTGCCTGCACATCCAAATACCTCAACAGAAATAGTTCCCTATAGGCAAGCACAACAAAAGCATGACCCTCCGGACTCGGGGAGAATCAACATGCAGGCACTGCTGCGCATCTCGCAGATACAACAGGAAGGGCTGGTTGATGCGACGAGGTTATGGGAGGATATGATGGAGAAGGGGAGGAATGCGATTGCTGGGGTGGATGATCCGGAAGAGGCATTTAGAGTGTTGTCGGGCTTCCAGGAGGAGTTCATCAGAAGATGGACTAGGGTGGTTGCTTCAACAGTGAGGGAGATGAGGGAAGTGGAGAATAAGAGCGCAATGTAATTGTAAATGAGTGTGTATCTGGCTCGAATTTCTTGAGTTTCATTTGAGGAGAGACAGCTGGAAAAATCACGGCTGGACACATGAGCAAACAAAAACAAAAGTAACTATTAATATCAACCCTTATTACACCTTACTCTTATCCTCCCTTTCTTTTGTCTCCTCCTGCTCCTTCTTCTTGACAGGCTCATCATCCGGACTAAAACTTAGACTAACACTGTTCACACAGTGACGCTCGTCAGTAGGGGTGGGGAAGCCTTCCCCCTTGAAGACGTGGCCGAGGTGGCCGCCGCAGTTGCTGCAGACAATCTCGGTGCGGAGCATGCCGAAGGCGCGGTCCTCGTGGCGGGTGACGGCTCCGGGAATGGAGTCAAAGTAGGCGGGCCAGCCGCAGCCCGAGGAGAACTTGTGCGAGGCCTTGTAGAGGGGGGCGTGGCAGCCGGCGCAGGTGTAGACTCCGGTTGTGGGGTAGTGCTTGTCGAACTTGCCGGAGCCGGGGGGTTCGGTGCCCTTTTCGCGGAGGATGCGGAATTGTTCCTTGTTTAGGACTGCGCGCCACTGGTCTGGTGTTCGTTGGTCTGGGTAGGATGATGATGACGACATGTTGGAGGCGGCGGTTGTTCCGAAGAGGCTGGCGAGGAAGGAGGGGATGACGGGCATGGAGGATCTCAGTGGTGGAGGGCCGGAGCGGAGGGAGCAAGTGTTACGAAGGGGTGCAGAGGTGCGGGTTAGGTGGGAGAGGGTGTAGAATAGACGGGTGAGTGTTGAGCGCATGAGAATGAGTTTAAAGAATGTGTGAGAGGGGTTGGGGTTATGAGATGCGGTTTATATGGATGGGCTTGGGGGCCTCAGATCGGAAGCTTTAGAAGCTGTGAGTGAGAATCGGTTGGAATACAGCGGGGCTGATCACTGACAAATCGGTGGTTTTTAGGGGCGATGAGACAAAGCCGGTTTGGCTGTGAGTTTGGAATCAACGGGTATTTGGATTTGGAGAGGGTCTAATGTGGCAGTGAGAGTGAACGTTGGAGGGTGCCATTTATCAATATTCTTTGAAGGTCATTATTTGGAATCTCGAACTGGTTGCGTCACTGCTCGCCCCTCGGGAGGAGCAGTGTTGTCTGTTTAAGCTTTTTTGAACATACATGGGTAGGTCTACAGTGACTTTCTTGTTGTACGAACTGTCCGCGTCTGTGGCACCTTGTTGAGAATGATTCGAAATTGAATCGCAAGACTACTGAGATCCCATAGAGAGTAAAAGAGCCGTGATACGGATTTATACTGTCCATGTTGGGTGGTGGAAACTGGGCGAAGCTTGAAGGTGGTGGAGAATATGCGGCTACCTAAATATCGTTGTATCCATCTTATAGCGGTCTATTCAAAATCCACTTAGCGGGTTATCAATAAGGGGCGTTGGGCGGCCCCTCTTCAGCCGGTAACCTTGTCGCATTGTTTCCAGCGCCATCTGGCTTCAGGCACCTGAAAGGCACGCCCGCGATTTTGAATCTGCCCACGAAATTATCTACCTGTTCTTCGAGATTCTTCGGTTTCCTATTCTACATTGCCAAAACAAAACAGCCCGCCATGTCTCGACGGCCGGCAAATCCTGGAGCCGATCGGGCACTCCAAAACCAGCAAACCATCAAGAGCCTCTTGAAATTGGAGGCCAATAAGGTGTGCGCTGACTGCAAGCGCAACAAACGTAGGTTTCCCACCCACCATTCCTCTATGTTTGTCAAGCCATATTGACCCCTTAAATCAACAGATCCAAGATGGGCCAGTTGGAATCTGGGCGTCTTCGTATGCATCCGATGCTCGGGCATCCACCGTGGCATGGGTACGCACATCAGCCGTGTCAAGTCTGTCGACCTCGACTCCTGGACCGATGAACAACTACAGAGTGTATTGAACTGGGGAAATGCCCGCGCGAACAAATATTGGGAAGCAAAGTTGGCCCCTGGCCATGTGCCCAGCGAAGCGAAGATCGAGAACTTCATCCGCACCAAATACGAACTGAAGAGATGGGTAATGGACGGACCGATGCCGGACCCTGCTACGTTGGATGCAGATGGCGATGACGATGTTCCCCTGAGCGTGGTCAAGGAGAAGCAAAATATTGAGCGGAGGGAATCGACTCGGAAGAGCTCTATCGGTCAGTCGTCGGCCCCAAGACGTGCCGCCCCACCACAAGAGGACTTGATCGGTGGTGGCCTTGCCTCTGTACCACCACCGAGAGCTAGTACCGCCGGACCAACAGCGTCCAAGGTGCCTCCCAAAGCCGACCCTGCTCCTCCGAAGGCGACAAACACCAAGGATTCGCTGCTGGGTTTGGATTTCTTGGGCTCGGAAACTGCGGCGCCCCCTCGACCAGCCAGCACGACTGGCACACCAAGCGCTGGAGGCCAATCCCGACCAGACCTCAAGCAGTCGATTCTTTCACTGTACGCAGCCGCGCCACGACCTCAACCACAGGCTCCTCAACAACCAGTATCTCATGCCTCTTCGGGATCATTTAGCGGTCTGGGATCCCCGACAGGGATGTCACAGACCCAGGGTTCTTTTGGTGGGCTCAACGATGCCTTCAGCAACTTGAGCTTTGGAAACTCTACTGCTCCCAAGCCCGCCCAAGTCGATGCCTTCTCTAGTCTTGGAAGTTTCAGCTCCCCTCGCCCTGCGGCTCAGACAACCAGCAGCTCTTCGGCCTTCTCTGGTTTGAGCGGCGGCAGCTTCTTCGACTCCAAGCCAGCCACATCAACTCATCAATCCAAGTCGTCCATCGGCGGGCTTTCTGGGTGGGGCTCCGTCTCCTCCCCCGCGGCTGCTCCTAAACCGGCCGCCGCACCGGCCTCTGCTGCCCTTGGGGACCTCTTCGACTTTTCCTCGCCAGCACCTTCTCAGCCAGCCCCCGCCCCTAAGCCTGCGGTGTCGTCTCCCCCAATGACCTCTTCCTCCGTATTCAATCTCAGCCAGCCAAAGCCCGCCCCAGCTCCCGCCCCCGCGCCAGTAGCCACCTCTAACACCCTTGGCTCTTTTGGCGGCAGCGGCTTCTCTGGTGCTGATGTCTGGGGTGGAAACGCCTGGGCTTCTGACGAGCCCGCCAAGCCAGAGCCCCCAAAGGCGACGACCTCGACCTCGAATGACTTTGGCTGGGGCTCCTTCTCCAGCCAACCCATCGTGCCCAGCGCATCAGGTGGTTTTGCCCCTGCTCCGAAGGTCACTGCGGACGAGGAGTTTGGCGGTTGGACAAGCGGTACCACTTCTACCAGCACATCCAAGCCGGCTGTGCCCGGTGGCGACAGTGACTTGTTCAACAATGTCTGGCAGTGAATGGATCCCAGGGGGCTGGGAAGACTACCCCTGAATCTACATATCCAGCCAGGATAATCCCTATAGCCAACTTTTAATCATGACGTTCGTTTATACACTGGGGCCCTTGCATAGTAATTTTTTTTGGGTGCGACTTGGTTGGGAGAAGAGGAGGGCAGACAGATCAAAAAGCGTGGCATCGTGTTTGTAATGTTATTTGCATGTGTAGTTGTAGGGCGGGTAGACTGGGTTCAGGATGTACGAGATATCACAATGTTACTGATGTGCACCACTATTAGAAATGAAACCAAAAAGTGTTGGTTGATATAAATGAGTTTACTGTAACCAACCGCCCCGACCCAAACCCCAAACGCCATGTGCTATGCCCTGCGCTCTCTGTTATCAGGAGCGCGATCCCATAGAAACAAATACAAACGATATAATCTCGAGTGGTATATCCCCGTGTCAACGTCGTCCTGCACTCCTCGCCTTCATCCCGGCTTCACTTTCGATATTATCCACCCTGCGTCCTCGCCTTTCCTTCCTGGTAAAGCCCAGTGTTTTATTGCCGATGTATGCCCTCATTCGACGACTCTGCTTCCCCTCCATCACACCATCTCATCGTATTTGCATGCTCAGAACATCAACCTCCAGAGGTAATACAGCACCAGAAACGCGCCGATCAATATCCCTGACAGTTTGAGAATGGCGACTTTGTTCCCGCTGGCGGCCATGCGGCCTAGTCTGCCGGCTGAGCCCTTGAGTTGGGTGCCCATTGAGGAGAAGGTTTCGGTCTATGAATGGGAGAATGAGTGTTAGTTTGCTTGGTTGTTTCGGTTGTGCTGGGAGGAGGAAAAGGGACGTACGCTGGAGTCGATGAGCTCATGGTTGCGGGCGTGGTCATAGATGTCGATTGTTACGCCGCGGAGGGCGGAGACTTTGGCGGAGAGCTCGTCGAGGCGGGCATTGTTTTGGCGTTCGCGTTCGTAGGATTCGGACATTTTGACTGAGGGTGTGGATGGGAGGTGTGGTGGTGAGGGTGGTGCCTGGGGGCTTTGTTCTTGCGGCTTGTCGGAGGGGAGAGACAGGATGTTTCACAGTTGGGTCGGTCGTGGGCGTGGGCCAGGGACTCGGGGCAGGATGATCGCGGGGTCTGGGCGGAAGATGGGTTCGTGTTAAAATCTCGCGATAGTGTTGCGCGCAGTGGGTGTCGTCGTGGGTTCGTCTGGAGTTGTGGCAAATGCGTTTACGCAGCATGCATGAACGGGGAGAAAGGGGGCTGAAAGCGCTGGCGCCAGTGACTTGCCAGCCGGAGACGGGATGAAATGTTGGGGTCCCTGCTTGAAGCCGCTTTTCTGTGGGGGCCCGGAGCAGGCCACAGTGTGGCGCGTTGCCTTGCGTACTGTTGGCGGCGGCGGGCGGCTGTGGGTGAGGACTGCGCCTATGATGTCAACTACGGACGGGCCAGGTGTTGAATATTTTTGGGGTTGAAGAATGTCGTACATGAACGGGATTTTGCACGGGGGTTGTTTTCAGGACATGCTGGTTTCAGAAGAGCTGGGATACTGTAGAGGCTCTCAGTAGAGTATCTACACATGTCAAGATATCAACCTGTTATCTCCGCCGACAAGGGATCCGGAAGCGCATTCCGTCTTCCAAGCCAAAATGGAGGCCGTCGCTCTAGCTTGGCATGTGCGCGAGGGAACAATTGCGGGGAAGCTTCCAGCTGCCACTCAGCAACCACGAGCGGGAGAGAGAGTCGATCACAAGGCAGAGTAACGGAACATCCACCACAAACTCCAAACTGTCACCTTTCATACACAGCCCACTTACTGGACGCGCGGCAATGGCAATTGCTGCTTTGCATTCTTAGAAAGGCCTTCGACATCGTTTATCGCCCTTGAAATATCTTTGAGATTCCCTGACAAGGACACGCCTGCTGGGAGCTTTTTTGATAGTTGATCAATCCACCAAGCATTGGCTACTTTTCTGCCTAGACTGCAGCACTCCCCCCCGCGCAAGCCGGATTGCCGTAACGAGACCACAAAGCAAAAAAGCCTCTTCTTACACCACTCGAAATATTTGTTGTTTTCTTCGTCTTCTACCCTTTGGTCATTGAGGATCACCTGCACCCGACACAGCAGCAGCCATGGGAATCAACAATCCGCTCCCTTCGAGCTTATCCTGTGCGTACTTACATCCCGAGCATCCCGCGACTCAAAGATGATGGCACAATCTCTGCTTCGACAGATAGCTGACACTTTCCTCCTCCCACAGCCGAATGCAAAAAGTGCGGCAAGATCCTCTCCTCGTTCATCGACCCTAGACAAGCCTTTGGACCCGAGAAGGTCATCCCACCATCTGTCCTCGCCAACGCCAAGGTAAGCAACCAACTGCCATGCCATTGTCGGGCTCCGTCAACTCCCCGGCTAACAATTTTTACACAACAGGGCCTCGCTATCCTTACTGTGATCAAAGCAGGCTTTCTCGGATCCGCCCGTTTCGGCTCCGGCCTCGTCGTCGCCCGCCTCCCCGATGGCTCCTGGAGCGCCCCATCCGCAATCGCAACTGGCGGTGCTGGCTTTGGTGGCCAGATCGGCTTCGAGCTGACAGATTTCGTCTTTATTCTCAATGACGCCAGCGCTGTCAAGACCTTCTCCCAGGCTGGCTCCCTCACACTCGGCGGCAATGTGTCAATAGCTGCTGGTCCTGTAGGCAGGAACGCAGAAGCTGCCGGCGCTGCCTCTCTGAGAAGTGTGGCCGGTATCTTCAGCTACTCCAAGACAAAGGGATTATTCGCCGGTGTCTCCCTCGAAGGCTCAGCCATTATCGAGCGCAAGGACGCCAATGCTAAGCTCTACGGCCGACAGATCTCGGCGAGGGAACTCCTGTCTGGAGCCGAGCGCCCACCGTCGCAGGCTTATCCCCTAATGAGCATCCTCAACACTCGAGCTTTCAACGGTATGGCGGGCGGTGGATCGATGGACAACAGAATGTACAACGACGTACCGGTGTATGACGACCACGAAGACCCGGTTGTCTGGGGTAACAAGACTGGCCAAGCTTATGGGGAGGGGCAGTCGAGGAACCGGGACAGTGTGCCTGCAGGGAGCAGTGGACAGGGAGATTACTATGCGCCACCCAAGAGATCTTCCACGTGGCAGGATCCGGTTTATGATCAGGAGCCCAGATCGTTTGGGCAGGGGTCGAGGTCGAGCACGTATGCGGATAATTCTTTTGGTGGGGCCGCGACAGGAGAGAAGAAGGCTCCGCCTGGACGGCCGGCGGCGCCGAAGCCGAACTACGCGGGTAAGGAAGCCATGTTGAAGAAGAATGAGGCTATTGCGCTGTTTACCTTTGAGGCGGTGGAGCCGGGCGATTTGGGATTCAAGAAGGGGGATGTGATCACTGTCTTGAAGAAGACGGATAATGCTACGGATTGGTGGTAAGGTTTGACATTTGATGAGATGGTTTGGAGGTTGAGGCTGACACGATGATTTAGGACGGGCATGATTGGAACGAAACACGGTATTTTCCCCAGTAATTATGTCAAGATGAAGGAGTGATTAGGGACAATTGTTTGGAGGGAGGTGTGTGCAGTGGCAAGATACCCTTGAGAGGTGAGGATGAGGATGGGGACGCGTTTCGGTTCGTTCAACGTTTGAGAATCCTCGCTCAACGATGACCTTTTTTTCTTTCCTTGTGCATGGTAGCATTTGAGTTGAGTTTTGGTTGTCTA